GTTCACAAGACACTGACAATTCCTGTACATTACACCAGTTTAACACTAGAGGGAACCAATGAAGCAGGAACATTACAGATACAATAATGTGCACCAGAAAGCACAGCCATCATGGCCCTGCTTAACCCTTTTGTGATGTCTTGACAAAAATTCAGCACTGCACTACTTTTAAAGAAGGAATTCAAACTTTCAATCAAATAAAAGGAACACCCTACTCTGTAACGACGTTTTAAAGAATAGGAACGCAGCACATTACAGCGGTACTTCCCAAATCTTTTCCCACTGTTACTCCATTTGGAAACTTGAAAACTGCTGTGAGACATGCATGTGTACAAGAGCAAGGACAGGAGCAACAAAGAGATGCAGGCACAGGTGCAGCTGGAGAGATAAAGTCATACAGCACAGGAACAGACCCTTTCGGTCTACCTAGTCCATCCTGACCAAGTTTCCCCAACTAAACTAGTCCCACTTGCCTGCATTTGGCCCATATTCCTTTAAATCTTTCCTTTTCATGTACCAATCCAAATGTCTTTTAAATGATGTAATTGTACCTGCATCTATCACTTCCTCTGGTAGTTCATTCCCCATACCCTAACCCCAACCATCCTCTGTGTGAAAGCTGAGAGAGCAAATAACAACTTATTCCACTAGGTTTTTTGGTAACAGGAATCAGGTCTCTAACATTGGTCAGTTAGGCTATGTTCACTATTAAGAATGCCTACATGTGTAATGTGATAGATACTCCTGCTGATTCTAACATTCAGCTCATCCATCTGATGATACACAGCCCTGAGACCCTGACTGAGAAAAACACAGGTTTCTGAAGAAGGGTCTAGGCCCGAAACATCAGCCATCCTGCTCCTCTGATGCTGCTTGGCCTGCTGTGTTCATCCAGCTCTACACCTTGTTATCTCCTACTATCTCTAAACACTGAGGTTTGCTGGGTTATGGTGGTAAGCAGCTTTCATTGTCCTCAGCACCCTGAGGCTAGCGTGGGTTGTCTAGAACACAACGAGGACACCCGAGGCTCTCAGAAGTTTGAAGCTGAAAACAGCATCAAGCTCAACTGAATTGTTGCTAAACAATTAAGTAACAGCTCATAATTTGCCACAGTCTGAGGGTGATTTGAAGCTAATTATTCCCCAATTTTTTAAAGCCTTTCAGGGAAAGACCCTTAAGCAACATTATGATACTCAACAAGAATAAGCATGTTAGCAAAATTCTTCCCCAGTCTTTTCCCATCGTGACCCCATTTGATGCATGAAAATTGTCATGAGTCCTCAGACAATGGGGCTGAGCAAACTTATTTGACCAAGGGGCGCAGGAAACAAAACTTGAGGGCGCACTTGAGGGTCCCCCTGGGGAGGCGGAAGAGTTCAGAGCTGCACAGCAGCCCTCGCCATCTTGGAGTCCCGTTACCCAATTTGAGAAGCCTTTTGCTAACAAAAAAAGTGCAGTTACTGTAAATATCTCAACCCAGTTTCTGTGTGTTAAACTAAATGGGCTTCCACACAAAGTAGATAGTGAAAGAGGCAGCATGAGAAAACAGATGTATTTAAAGGGATAAATAATTAGGGTGGGACAGGGAAGAGACATACCTTTTGTGTATTGAGAACTCTCATCAATTGTGTGACAGCTCCAGAATTCCTAGCAGGAATGTTGCTGCCACTGGGAGACATCAACTGCAACTGGAAAGACTGTAAGAAAAGGATGGGAATAAGCATAAGACTTTCTAATTTTTCAAGACACCAGCTCAAACTTGTTTCTTTCCTCTCTCAATAATTCCTTTCTCTATCTGTTTTTTCCCTGCAGTTGGGTCCTTACTGAGACACGGCCCCTTCTGCTATGTTACTCATGGGCCTGAGTTAGCAGCTTTCTGCACTGCAGCAAACCATATGGTGTAGGAGCACCCACAATACTGGAGGGAGTTCCAGGAAAAAAGTCTGCTAGTTGCTGACTAGCAAACTGTTTTCCTGTGGGCTCATTGCGTCAAATTCAATGCTACCATGATCATCTGCTTCCTAACATGTAGGCTCTCAAAAACAATTTCTGGTGAGCATTCAGCTTCAGGAACTCTGGTTAGTTTGCTTCTCTATGACCCAAGCAGTATTAAAGTTAACTGCAACATCTCACCACCTCTTTGGTTAATCTGACACAAGGCAGGATGGAAATAGTCCCTGGGATATCGCAAACTTGAATTCACATGTACATTTCATCGCATCAGCAATTAGCAGACTTTTTTCCTGGAACTCCCTCCAGTACTGTGGGTGCTCCTACACCATATGGTTTGCTGCAGTGCAGAAAGCTGCTGACCATTGCCTTAAGGGTAATTACAGATGGGCAATAAATGCAGATCCAGTCAGTGACACCCATATCTCATAACGAAATTTTAAAAAAACACCTTACATTAGATAGCATTTTCAGTTTAGGACAAATGTCTCAGATGAGACAGAGCATAAGGAGAGATAGGAGACAAACTAGAGAAATACACAAGCTCAAGGCTAGTCTACAGTTTGGTGTAGGAAAAAAGCAGCTTACTGACAAAGAATAAACGGAAACCTCCAGTTACCAGCCCAATGACACCCACCCCAGAGCTCTAGAAACTGTTCAGACAGACCTTTGGTACAGCAGCTTGCAAAACAAAGTTGCTCATGTCCATCTCAGTGGAATTTGATGCTCGTAAGGTGATAAACAGCATGTTTGTATTTGCTTTGGACCGTTCAAAAGAAAATTCTATTTTCAGACCATTTTGATCATATGCGATGATTGAAGGTATATCTGGAACAAAACGGGATTTCTTAACAGATTTCAGAAACAGTTAATTTCATTAACAGAATATCTCCCAAGTCATCCCAATATGATTTGCATTACATGATTGTATTTTAGAAAGTAATTCACAGTTGCTGTTTATTCAATGTGACAGCCCTTTTACATACAGCATCTCAAATATGCAAGAGGTGAATGAACCATCGATTGACTTTGGATCAGGGAGTGGGGTGAATGTTGGCCAGGACACCAGGAGAACTTCTATGAATACTGATCTTTCACATCCACCGAAACAAAGCATATGGGATTTTGGTTTAATAGTGATCTTCTGTGACGCCCAGCAATGCCACACTGAAAAAATCACACCAGAAGATATGCTCAAATTTAGGAGTGGAACATAAGTGCACAATTTTCAGACCATGAGAGATAGGAAAAGGCGTAGGCTACTCGAACCTGCTCTACCTCTCAACAGAATCATGGCTGATCCAACACTTCTCTTGTCCACTTTCCTCCATTTTCTCTGTAACCTTTCATTCCACTACTGATCAAGAATCTATTTCAGCCTCTAAAAAAAAAAAAAAAAAAAAAACAAGGACTTTACCCCAACAGCCTTCTGGCCCAAAAGGCCACTACCAAGCCAGGCCGCCACATGAGGTGCAAGACACATTGTTTTACACTTTTAAGAAGTCACTGTAGAGTAACGAAACGTAGCTTGAAAAGGAAAAACACAGCCCAAAAGTTGTCAGGATAGGTTTGACAGTATCAGCGGAATCTTCACCTTTCAATCCATTCAGCTGGCTCATAGCAAACCATTTGTTTAAAGGTAGTACATTCTCCAAGATCCCATTCGCTGCTGACGAAAAATCTGACACTAAAAGAGAAATTCAACTATTGGCCCAGACAATGATTGCTGTGGACTTGAACCTAACTCTTGAATAATCCAGAGGCAACCAAACCTTTGGACAGGAAATGATGAAGCCACTTCAAATTCACCAAACCCATCAAGGATTATCCTCTGTCTAAAATAAAATTGCTCCACTGTGATTTTTCCTCATCATTCCAAATGCTAGTACAGTACCACAAATTTTTTATATAAACAAATGAAAGGCAGCCAGAAAGAAATAGCTGATTAAGTGATGAAGAATAAAAAGAGTCCATGCTTTTGCTTTTGAGAGTTCACTGAACAGTGCCCTCCACCATCCAGGACTCAGAATCAAGATACTACAAATGGATTCAGATTACGGCAAAAGGGAATAGATGAGCCAGGATCCTTACGGCTAACAGGACAACTGAAAGTTTGATTGACGAGGCCCCATTGCTCAAGGACAGTTTTTGCACTCACTGCTTTATCCACATGATCAGTTCTCTCATCTCTGAATGACCTTCAGTTTGATGTACTGACAATCCCACCTGTACCCATGCATGCTCATGTCTCAAAACAAGTGTAAATTCTACAGAGTGTTTATGCCATATACACCTGCAAATAATTTGCAAACTACTTCATTTTTATGCATACTGCTGTGTGTTATTCTGTGGCACTATGGGCTTGGCGTAAAACTGCTGCTTGCTTACCTTGCTTTAAATTGACAGTACTGTGTGAACCAGGGGCAGCCATACCATCAAGAACCAAATGTGGCTGTACGCTTGACAGACCTGATGACTGTGGATCTGAAATATATTTACAAAAGGAATTAGGGGGATGAAAAGGTTTCGTTTTCCTCCTTCTCCTTTGCTACTCAGCAAAACCATTTATAACTTCTTAGGATCCTAGAATATCTTTATATATTTTTTCAAAATTTTGAATACCAACAATGTTTGGGAGCAGTGGTTAAAAGATAGGAAATCGGTTTACACAGTCATTAAAATAAAGCATTTGAACAAAATTTAAAAAACATGTATCTTAATATCACATTTGTCAGGCTTCATAATGCCTTATACAATGTATTCAGTTAGTAGCTTAGTGAACAAGACTAGGAATGGCCAGCGGCAAGAGTCATTATTTGGCGGCACTGCAAGATACCTGGGTGATTGAGGAGAGAAACTAGCTATCTTGCAATAGCACTGGCAACTTTATGAGGAAATGATTGATTCCAGGGAAATCACAGCCTTAAGGAGACCACTGCCAGTCATTCTGAAGGCTCACCCATCACAATGAGGACAGCTTATATAATTTGCCAAGTCCATTTATCTTTTGAAACCTGTAGTTCTTACACCCACTTTTCCTCAAAATAAAATGCCCAGGCCAGAATGACTTCAGTAACGCAAGTTGGAAAACTATTTTAGTATTAATCACACCGAAAAACACATCACTTTGCATCAGTCCAGAATCTTTACCTGTTACAACAAACAACCTAATGTGAATATGAGGCACTTAGGCGAGGTATCAGAGGCTGTCATATAGATGTGCTGTTATATCCCAGCAAGGTATCAGGGTCTTTGGAAGAGGAGGGCAGACAGTGTATGAATCAAGAAATAAAAGATAATACTTTGTTTCTTTCTGCCTGCTCAATTGACTGTGGAAATCTAGATATTGGGACTGAAGTTCAGGATCTGGCTGGGGAGGGGCGAGCCCAAAGCTCTTAACCAGTGAAATTATTTCTGGAGATTTTGGGTATATCTTATTCCAATTTTGGCCTACCTTTGGAGACACCAATGAGTTAAAGTTTTGCAGGTGATTCATTGCTGATTTAAGAGTGGTCAGCTGGAGTCTTAGTTCACATCCCTCTACTGCCCAGAGGACTGCATCATATTTCTGTATCCTACAATAGTTTAGTAGTTGCACCAGAGAATAATTTTTAAGTGTGCCTCATTGCGTAAAAGCCCCACTGATGCATCCGCTATCCTTTCGGCAAGGATCTGCCACCCTTACCTGGGATCTGCACTGTGCAGTTGGTGCCTTCAAGACAAAGGACAGTTTTTTAAAAAAATGTTTACAGTGCCCACATCCCCAAAACCAAATTTGAAAACTTCCAGAAGAACCCTGGAACTTTTATAAACTGCTGTATAAATACAAGTTACCACGTTATCAGTCTCAATGTATAAGTAAGGGAAAGAAACAAAAGATGTGCATTTATAAAGCACCAATGCTACCAATTGCATACACAGTCCATAATGTTCTTGCACACCTGGCAGGTTTAATCCATCCAGAAGGTCTAGTAACTCTCCACCTGCTTGAGGTACTTTGCTTTCTTGAGGCACTGATGAAGGTGGGTTACTGACGTCGAGCAGATCAAGCAAGTTGCTAACCTGAAACAACAAACATACTATGAATTAAAACAGTGCATCATGCACTTAGCCCATTCAAAGTTGAATGGACCTAACAAGTAGTCATGAAATTTAAGTAAGTACACACAAAGAATTTTGCTATGTACGAGTTCACCTCCACGGTCATATTCTGCTGTCCTCTTGTGTTTTAACTTTGGCTGATTCAGTTGGCTGTTACGTGCTCTACCAACGTATTTTCATACTTTATTACATCAAGCCAATGGTGGGGATCAGATTTTTTTGATCTTGATTTAATTTTGGTAATTTTTTTGTGAATTTTTGTTTCATTCCTATGATTGGACACCTTGTCAAGTTGCTGTTTTAGATTGGGGGGGGTGGGGGGGATGGAGGGCGGAGTAGAGAGAGCAAGGGTTTGATGGAACTTGGATCCACTCATTGTCGATGGCTTCAGGAGATAATGTACTGCTGGATTTGAAGGTGTGCCATTTTAAAATTTTAAATTCCGAACAGCAAATATGGATTTTTGTCCAAGACCATCAGTTGAGAAAAAATAGTAGGCCTTCTCAATACTCTATTTCATACTTTTAGATGTAGGAATATTATTGGCGATTTAAGTCTGTACTCTGCCTCAAATGTTCGAGTATGCAGAAGAAGAAAACTGAACTCCATGAATTTAATTCACTGGAAAGTTATTACAAAAAATTGGGATTTAGAGCATGGGGGCAATTTATTACCATGGACTGAGGATTGTTTAACGAACATAAATAGAAATTAACTGGTTATTTACATGTGAGCAAGGATCAGTTTTTTTAATATAATTTATACAATAACTTATAGTTATTTGTTAGTACAAAACTTGAATATTGTTGGAGACAGCTTTTGTCTTGCACTCATCAGTACAGTTCACCAGAAAACAAATTTAAACGAAGGGCAGAACCCAACAATTATGCTGTAGGAAACAAGAGTGCTGACTGATTGGCAGACGTGTTGCCATGGAGAATGCACTAACTTACGAACTCAGCAACTTGCACAGTTGAGTAGAGTTTAATAACACCATGCATACCCAAATAAATGGTACAGTGTGGAACCCCTATTAGGTCCAGCTCTTGGAAGCACCTTTGGTGAATTTAAGAAATGGGTCTTCGATGAAATGATGCCTAACATCCTATCCATTTGCATATGTCTGATATATAGATGATGGGTTTTCTATATTTAAATCCACAGGTGCATGCAAGAATTTCCTTTTATGTCTTAATGAGTTCTGTACTGCACTTAAATTTGCATTTGAAATGGAACAGTCAAATGAGTTCCCTTTCCTCAATATCCTAGTTAAGAAACTGGCCAGGGGCCCTCTACTACTGTCTACGACTAATGTACCTTTACTGGTCTGTATACACATTAGGATTCCTACAGTTCTAAATACTATAAGATTGGCCTTTCAGGAAGCGGTGTAAGTACAGCCCAAGCCATTCGATCACTGTGCAAGCTTGATGCTGAAGTAAGATGTATCGAAATCATCCTGTGGGATAATACCTACCTTGACCAGATCATTTTGCATTGTATATCGCGCAAACTTGTGAACTGCATCCTGAAAGTGCCCAGATTTCCTCAGAAAAGTTTGAGCACTAGGTGAAACTAATTGCTACATTGCTAAGCAACTACACAACTTTTATTCACCATGTACAGGAGGCTGCTGTCAAGCCAAACAGATGTTTTGCCTATCACACAAATAAATAATGTGGTACATAAACTTCAGTGCTAATGTGATGCCAAGTATGTACGCTGTAAATCTCAAAGACGGGCAGACCATATCAAACAGCTTATCCCTTTGGCTATTTGCAACAAGCAAGATACTGACAGCACCTAATCAGACTGTACATGCAAAATTGTAACAGTGATCAACATTAGATGTGATTTTGCAATTAAACATCTGTGGGGTGAGTAATCCTGACAGACAGAAGAATTACACTGAAACAATTTACAATTGTCAGTCTGATTTGCAGTGAGGTGCGCTTGTGTGTACTGGAAGCTACACATGTTAAAACACAGACCCTGTTTTCTGCAGACAGAAAGAACAAGTAAAAACACTGCATCTGTTTCAGGTCCACAAAACTGGTTAAGGCATTACCATTCAAAATTAACCTATCAGAATCAACCCACCCGGTTTAAAATTTAAACAAAGTCTGTGATGGCAATCATCATCAACTAGTGCATTCTCCACAGCAACACTTGTATTATTCAGAAGATTCTGTATTTCAACAAAAGTTGAAAAACACTCATTACAATCTGTTTACCTGGGCCTGTTGGGATAGCTGCTCTTGGGCTGGTAAGCTGCCCCCTTCCTCCTTTTCTTCACCATTAACCACAGTTTGCACTGGTCCATTGGCTGCACTCTTCTGTATGAGAGGCATTCGCTCCAATAAAGCTGGTCTACAAGTAATATGAATGTTCAGTATCACACAATTACAACAGTGTTCATTTGATGGGTTCTCAGCGCAATATCTTCATGATTTCCTGCCTAAAGCCTCAAATTTCACAATTGTTTTAACACCAGTCTTGGCATATTTTCTGCTCGTACTGTTTGGTACAAACAGAAACACTGAAAATTTACAGCACGGAAGGAAATTATTCAGTCATTTGGTCTAAGCCAGTCAAAAGATAATTATCAAGGCTATTTGCACACTTCAGTTCTTGGTCTACAGCCTTGTAGATTAAGTACATTATATTCCACATGCCATAGTCTTATCCACTTACTCAACCTCTCCAAGTCCCTTTGAAGCCTCTTTTGCTATCACCTCAAAACTCTCATCTGCTGCCCATTTGGTGACAAGAGAAAATTTGGAAATTCAACATTTGGTTCCCACATCCAAATCAATGACATGGATTGCAAATAGGTGGGCCCAAGGACTGATCCTTTAGGTACACTACTAGAAGCAGCCCTGCCAACCCAAGAATGTCTTGTTTGTTCCTACACTGATTTCAGTCCATTAGTCAATAGCCAAACATGCCAGCAAATTACTTGAAATCCTCATGCTAATTTCATAGATCATAAAATCCCTAGTGTGGAAACAGGCCCTTCGGCCCAACAAGTCCACACTGAGCCTCAGACACCCCACCCAGACCCATTCCCCTATAACCCACCTAATCTACACCGCCCTGAACACTACAGGCAATTTAACATGGCCAATCCACTTAACCTGCACATCTTTGGACTGTGGGAGGAAACCAGAGCACCTGGAGGAAACCCATGCAGACTTGTTTATGAATACTGCATAGGACCTTATCAAAAGTCATAAAAATCTACAAACATCCACAATTTCACATTCAAATTCACATCCACAAGTTTCTCATTATCTATTCTGCTAATTACAAAGAACTCAAACAGATTTCATCAAATATGATTTCCCTTTCATAAATACATGTTGACTCTGCCTAATTCTTCTATTATTTTCAAGGTATCTGGTTATCACATCCTTTATAATGTTTTTTTTCTAGAATTTTCCCTGCTAAAGTTATCAGGATAAAAGGTTTCTAGTTCCCCAATTTCCTTCTTCCCTTCTTTCTTAAATAGTGGAGGATACAGTTGCTATATTCTAATCTGCAGGAACTGTTCCAGAGACTATGACAGTTTAGAAGATGACCACAACGCATTCATCATTTGGACAGCCACGTCTTTCAATACTTTGGGAAATAGCTAAGCAGGTTCACAAGATTTACCAGCTTTCAGTCTTAACTTCTTCAGCGCTACTTTTTACTTTTCATAAACAAACTTCTTTCAGTTTTTCCATTCTTGATAGTCTTTTGGTTCTCTGTTATTTCTGGCAAGTTTTTTTTGTCTTTTTCCGTAAAGCCAGACAAAGTATTTGTTTAGTTTCTCAGACACTTTCTAACTCTCCATAATAAATTCTTCTATCTCTGCTTGTAATAGATCCACACCTGCTTTTGCTAATATTTACCTTTTTCTTATCTTCAGAAGCATTTACAGTCTGATTTTAGGTTGCATATTCATTGTAAACCATTCATTCTTTTCTTTAACCCATTGTCTGTCTACAGTCAAACCTTTTTATACAGTTTCCCAATTTTCCACAGTTGACTTGCCTGTCAAGCCAATATAGTTTCCTTTGTCAACAGCAGTGGAGTGGAAACAGTGTCTAGAACCAGAGAACAAGGCCTCATATATTGGGCAGGTCATTTAGCACCGAGGTGAGGAGGAATTTCTTCCCTCAGGGGTGATGAATCTTTGGAATTTCTGACCCAACAGGACTCGGAGTGTCGGTTGTTAAATTCAAAATTGAGATTGACAAATTTCTATATATTAAATACATCAAGGGATATGAGGATAGTACAGTAAAACAGTGTTGAACTAGATGAATAGCCACAATCTCACCGAGTGGTGGTGCAGGCTTCAAGGGCTATCGGATTACTCCTGTCGAACTTCTTGTGTTCTTATTGTATAACCTAAGGAGGTTATTCTACACCTCAAAGCACAAAGAGACACGGATATTCAATAACTTCCCAATGTCTTTGTGGCAGTGATCACAGCATAATAGAATTTCATCTTCAGTTCAAAGGGGCGAAGTGAGAGTCTAGGGATACCTTTTTAAACTTAAATACAGGTAATTATAAAGGTATGAAGAAAAAACTAGCTGAAGTGAACTGAGAAACTAGATGAAAGGTAAGACAGTGAAGATGTAACGGTAGACATTTAAGGAGCTATTTAATAACTCACAGCAAAGATTTAGTCTGGTGAGAAAGTGATGCATCATTGTGGTTAAATAAGATATCAATGATAGAGACAAATTAAAAGAAACACTACAACTTTGTAAAGAATTGTGGCAGGTCAGAGATTGGAGAGACTTTAACAACCAAGAAAATTTGATGAAGAAAAAGGAAATGACAGAACAAGAGAAAGCTGGATGAAATTTAAAAATCACATAGAAAACTAAATTTCTACAAGAATCTAAAAAGGACAAAAAGCAATGAAAGCTCGTCCTCCAGAGCGTCTGGGGGATTAATCATGGAAACTAAGTCAATGTCCAGAGGTTATGAACTGGAATTGTGTGTCTGTATTCATCATGGAAGACATCAGACATCCCAAAAATACTTGAGAATCAAGGGGAGAAAAGGAGAAAAGGAGAAAACTAAAATAATCATCACCATGGAAAAGGTAATGAGCAAACTATTAAACCTAAAGGTTCACACACCCTGAGGAACTGATGGCCTGCATCCTAGGGTCTTAAAAGAAGTGGCTGCAGAGATAGTAAAGACACTGGTTATAAATTTCTAAAATTACTTGAATTCTGAAGGGAAAGTGGAGAATAGCAAAAGTAACACCACAAATGCCAGAGCCTTAACCATTTACATTCTATATCAATGAATTAGATAACAGGGCTGAATATATAGTAGCTAGATTTGGGAATGATGCCGAGATAGGTAGGAAATGAAGTTGTCAAGAGGAGGTAAACAGGTTACAAAGGGGGAAAAAAACAGCTGCTGTATAAAGGTGGAAAATATGAATTTGTCTACTTTGACAGGAGGAATCAAAAAGCAGCATGCTATTTAAATCAGGAGAGATTGCAGAACTCTGCGACAAAGGTAACGCTGCACCCTGGTCCGTGAATCTCAGATTTTGTATGCAGATACAGTGGGTGATTAGGAAGGCAATTGGAGTCAGTGTGCATTGCAAGAGAAAAGGAAAATAAAAGTGAAGGTGTTTTACTGCAGCTGTACAGGGTTTTGGTTGGACCACATCGGGAGCACTGTGTGCAGTTCTGGTCTCCTTACTTTAAAAGGATTTAACTGCATTGAAAGCAATTCAGAGATGGTTCACTGGACTCAATCCTGGGATGAAAGACTTATCTGATAAAGAAAGGTTCAACAGATTTCGCCTTTACCCACTGGAGTTCTGAACAAGAGATGATCTTACTGAAACATGTAAGATCCTGAGGGAACAGTACAAGGTGGATATTAGGAGGATGTTGCTCCTTGAGGGAAACTTGAGTTGGGTTTATAAATAAGAGGTTTTCCTAATAAGATGAAGATGAGTTTATATTTTCCTCTCAAACTTCCCCAGAAACAACAGGGGCCAGGTCATTAAATTTATTCAAGGGTGAATTAGATAGATTTTTATAGGCAAGTCAGTCAATGGTTATGGGGCTTTTCGGGGACCTAAGTTGCCAATGTCCTTCAAGGAAGGAAATCTGCCTTCATTGCTTGGTCTGATCTATATATGGTTCCAGTCCCACACAAATGCTATTGACTCTCACCTGCCCTCTGAAATAACCTAGCAAGCCACTCAGTTCAAGGATAATTATGCATATACAAATGTTGGCCTTGCTGGTGACACATACCATGAACAAGAGTAAAGACAAAAAAAGGATAAGGACTGCTCAAGAGATTTTAAAAAACCTGGGATTGTGAGCATAGACCGTGAAGGATAGTGGAAATGAGTTGCACCTTACCTTTATGTTTCAACAAATGCAGCAGGGCTTATTTTCACAAGAAAAAGTTGAATCCTACTCACCTCATATGGTCAAACCTCATGAAGAGTGCACTGTACTCCACTGCTCGTTGTTGAAGTTCCACATCTAAACTGCTTCCATAGATAGAAACTGCTTTCCTGATGCGACTGTAGGAATCACAGGTTGCAATCAAAGAGTGAAATAGAATTTGAAAGCTTAGTAATCTGAACAAGTAATGTTTCAAAGAAAACTACAGGTACAACAACTCCCAACATAATTGCCCCATCCTTTTTCTTAGAAGTGCCAACTTTCACTGGTAGATTTCAGCATTGGCACTTGCACATCAGTGAGAGAAGAGGTAGGTGACAAAATCATGTTCAGCTAAAAATATTATATATTGGGCCAGCCGAAACCAATCTTACGACACTATTTCAACATAAGGGAACATTGACCAGCATTCAGTAACAAAAACCCAATTTGAAATTTGCCTTCCTTAGGCTCATACCACAGAGGCCAACTATAATACTCCGACTGCAGACAATGGCTGAGATCAGTTAACCCAATAGAACTGAACCTCAGAACTTCTGTTCTGTATAATATTTATTAAAAAGGTAATAGATTTACATTAGTCTGTAAATTCTCTCATCTTTGTGAACCCTCATTCTCTAAGCTCCTTTAGAGTTCTCATCACTGACAACTGCATTTGGCGAACTACTGTTTGCTATCTGGATGGTCTAGTTTCTGTGAAGGCAATAAAAATGGTACATTGTGAAGGTTTATATTGTATATTATTAGGGAACTTGGGTTCTAATCTTTAAGAGGCAAATGGGTTTTGGGTTCTCAGTGCTGCAAATGTGATTGGTTTTCTTGTCATCATTTTTTAAAAAGGGTCAGAAACTCCTTTTTAGCTGTGGGTTAAAACTGTGGGGGTTGCAGGGAAGAGAGAGACAGAAGCAAAAAGATGGTTTAGTTTTGGTAATCTTTATGGTCATCAAAGCTGGAAAAAAAATCCTAAATATTTTAGCAACCCAAGTTTAGACAGGGGCTAAATAAAACTCAGTACTTTTTCTTACAATTCAGCAAGTGACCGTGTGCCTTGATGAGAGATAGCAACAGGGAAAACTAAATTGGGTGAATATGCTGAAATTTAGCGAAGGATCACTGCTTGTGATCTTATTATCTGAATAAGAAAATTCACGGATGAAGAAAAGGAATGATACTTCACTGGGGCTGAATGTCCAGTGATGATTACAGGCGAGAGAGATTGAATCATTTTTGCTGTTTATTAGGAGTTCTTTACAAATTGACACATATATAGTGTTTTTTTTTAACATTATGTATTAAACTTTGATATTCTTTTGTTAAAAACATATTGGCAGCATCTTGTGATTGATCAACATATCAAATTGCAAAATTAAATCTTATGGTCTACAGAGCCAGGTTTCACTTTAGGATCTGACTTGGTCAAGATTACCATCAGTTGGGATTACTATTGTTTTTACAGAATAGTTAAATATTTAAATAAGTACTGCAAGCACAAAATGGGCAGTAATTTAACACATAACTATTATCCTCTTTTAACTATGTAGTAGAGACATCAGATGTTAAAACAGGAATTGGTATTGCCTGTGACTAACCAATACCATGTGGCTGACAAGTAACAGAGTCAGTTCTAGAAAATGCCAACTTTAGATTGATAACCTTCATGAGGACGGGAGTCGGACTCACAATGGATAAAATATCATTAGGTAAATGGGAAAATCTACAAATTATACAGTGGGATCCATAACCTGGACACATTGACAAAGCTGTAGCAGAGTAAGGAGGAGTAACCAAGGTTCCTATGCTTTTCTTGTGTGGGGATTGTAGACATAACTTAGATAGACAATTCAAGTTGGCTTATTCACTAGTGAAAATAACTTGGAAATCGAAAGGACATTTAATAACCAAGTCTCAAAACTCTTCAGATAAGACTGTTTTCAGCATTCATACTGTACGTTTCAGCTGTTTGAGCTCAGATAGGATTTAAGATTTCTTACAGAAAGAAAATCAATTATTACATGTTTTTCATGTTTTAGGAAGAGGAAAGGGCAAGCTTTCTATTTATAAATAGTTTCTACTTACTTTGTGCTGCTCTGTAGTCGCGTGCTAAGCTTCATAATGGCAGTCAGCGCATATTCCCGTGTCGTAAGTGCCGAGAGGCTGGATTGCAGAATCTTCTCTAAAACATCCAATACTTCATCTTCTGTAACCTACATTGGAAAGCAAGAAACCAAGTATAATTACCAAGCCTGGAAAGGCAGAGTGCGTACATGATGCTAAATAAACATTATAGAACTCAAACAATGTTTAAGAAAGCTTGGTTTTCCCAAATAGGAAACACGCAGTTGGAGTGTGATAGGCACTGGAAGAAAGCTATCAATTTCAGATCTCTGCTGTAGACTCTACACAATAAATATCCAATTCCAGCCTTCACCAACTATAATCAACTCAAGCTTCCTAAATACAATTTTAGTACAAATTTCAGACTTGCGATCAAGATGTTTTCAGAAATTGGTGGTGGTGGGTGGAGGGTGTGGGAGGGGAAAGAGCCAATCCTGCCGTGCAGTTCAAAAAACTTTGATAGAAGGCCAGTGTAAGTGGGTTAGTCCTCCTATATCTGATACATCTACTCTTCGGTACAGCTGATTATCAAGAGAAATGAAATCTGATTTTCACACTGGTTAGCGATGATTGAACCCAATTACCCAGTACACAGCAGCAAATGAAAACATATTAATTTTAACACTTACATTTCATTTGTACAATCCAAATATCAAGGAACCTATTCAGCAGTCACCACAGCATTAAAGTAAAAAATATCATAAAATGCAGAATCATTTGTTTTCAACCAGTTTAGTGCAGATGCAATTCAGGTGTTTGGGACCCTCACTGATTCATTCAGGAAAAGACAAGTCTTCCTTGAGTGCTAATATTGTCCATGAATATAACCATACCTGAACTGGTGATTCCTCCTCAAAGTTGGCAGATAACAGTAGATCCCCATATTCTCCAATGCACCAAACTGCCACTTGCACTAAGGGTTGCTGCAAATCAGAAACGGGTCCAAGTTCAAACATGTATGCCAGTTACAGATTAGTTTGTTTTCACGCAAATATAAGTATAGCAATCAACCTAATAGGCTGGGCACGTGGTAGATTATATGGAAAATACATATTGGGATTACAAAAGCATCATTTTCAATCAAAGTCCCTCAGAGAAAGTGAATTTACAAAAATCCTGCATTTTACCATATAAAATTTAACTAAACAGCAACCAACATAATCATCAATGTATCACTGACCTAGGAGAGGAGAAGCTGGTGGATAGAAAGGAGGAAGTACACAACAAGCAAATATGTGGGCAAGAGAATGGGATGGGGGGTTTGGAAGAAGCAGACAGGGTGACAGCAGGGGTAACTGGGGATAGAGATTGGGGGGAAGCAGAGAGGCTGACAGTTTAGTGGAAGAGTCCTGAGATGGCAGAAGAGAAAGGCTGGGGGCGAGAACAGGCAGAGGGAGGGGGGCGAGAACAGGTGGAGGGAAAGGGCGCTGAAGAAAACAACATGACTGATTTAACTGGAACTCCCAAGTGGCTGACCAAAGTACACAGTTCTAAGGAAATGTTAGCGGCCTGAAACATTACACTTATCTTCCTCTATTCACAGATGCTTCCTGCCCTGTGATGTGCTTATAACACAATGTATTTTTATTAAAAAAATTCTGAGTCCTTTTTGACACTAAAAATGTAGACATAATTGGAATGTACGCAAGTTAAAATTTCTTATATCACTTTACAAACCGGAAATAGGCAACTTATCTGAATCATCAACATCTTTAGTGATGAAAGTCTACCATCTGTTTAGCGTACGTGACTCCAGACCAAAGCAATGTGGATGACAATGAAATGCCTTCTGAAATTGCCACATTTCGTCTGTTGTAACAAACTAAGAAATAGTACAAAAGTAATAAAATCTGAACAGACTACCTGGTGTCGTCTTATCCACTCAAGATAACAACACAGCCAGTCCTGCGAAGTCCTCCTTACTAACACTGGGGCCTCCCACAGACCAGTAAAGCAACAGCGTGTCATGACCATATTTAATGAAGCATACCTTACAGGTGATATCCCAGACAACACCATCAGAATCCCTGGGTATATCGACTGACCAGCAGTGCACAGCTACCAGAAGTGCCAAAACAAATATGCACAGCTAGGAAGGAACTGCCTCAGGAATCCTCAACTATAGGGATATAGTGCCCCTCAAAGTCTCACAACATCAGGTCAGATATGGGCAAGGATACCCTCCTACTAATCACCATCAAGTGCCCTCCTAATTGTTGATACCAGTTACTAATTATTGTCCTCCCTCAGAAGAAAAAAACAATACTTCTCTACGATGAGCCACCGAGAGGAACCACTGAGGAAGGCAAGAGAACATAATGTGTGTCTTGGAACCACATTGCTTTTCATTGATTTTTGCTGGGCCAAAATCCCAGAATTCCCTTCCTAATTGCACTTGGGTCTACCCAAATCACATGGGTTGCAACAATCTTCAAGGGCACTTACTGGCATCCACATTCCATAAACAACATTAAAAAATCCACCATGCATGTAAAGAAGAATTTAACCAAGGTTCTATTACCGAAAAGCTCACTCAAGTTCTCTAATTTTATCAAACACTTCTTTATTGCTCAGATTTAGACAAACTATTTTAACTGAGAGATTATTACCTGGTTACAATGTTCCTCTGCAGTGCATTGTATTTTATGACGTTTGCAGTCCATTTTCTGTTACTTCTGATAAGCTATAAGAGTTAAATATTTAAAGCATTGCTACCCATAATGGCTGGCCAAATGCCTTCTGAACCAACTAGAATAACATTCATTAATTGCGGACAACTGAAATGGAGGCAAGTATATCGTACACCACGCTCCTGACACTTGACGACTACGAGAGAAATTGATGTTCCTTGTTACATTTAGGTATCATTAGTTTAGACTTAAGAAGACAGGTACATTTACATCAATACTTTTGAATTTTCCACTGTCAATGCTCACTCTCATCCAAGATTGATCATTATTCTTGCAATGTAACTGCTTCATCCTTGTTACCTACCTGTGAAATATCCACCCGTATGGCTTGATAAAGTTTCTGCACAATGTATGCATGAAGGGAGTTTGCATTACTGATGAGTTGAATCAACAGAGGTACAGAATCATCACGGACATAACCACCAGCCTGTAGGAGAAGGGAAAATAGAACATATCGCAGCAGTGAAACTTACTCTGTTAACATTATCACAACTTAAAACAGCAAAAATTGGAAACAATAGCTGGGATGTGATACATACAGTGGTGAGCACTCTCATGATAGTGTCAATATGCCATCTCTTGTTTGGTGCATATCTGGAAAAGACATCACCCATAGTGTAGAAATTAGCCACGATGTGCTTGTGTTTAGCCGATTAAATGAAGATAATGCAGTGGATACTCTAAGTAGACAAAGAGTTGTGGCATCCAATACAAAAAACAACATTTGGACTTCAATTAGACTTTATGCCCATATTTTGTTCACAATTTTTTTCACATTTTGTCTGATCTGATATGCATCACTTCTACATACTAGGGAGGGAAAGCTGTTTCTGTATCATGTTAAGAAGTCTCCAACTTGGAGATGGAAGGAGAAAGGCAGTTGGATTGGGAATTGGTCACCCTCATGGCAATTGAATTAAATTGAACATGGGCTCTAACCTCCACAAAATACTCAAGCTAAACATCATTAAATGTAGGGAAGTGTCTTAAATTTGTAGGCTGCTTGTAAGCCAAGTATTCACAACCAAGAGGATTGGATAGAGTCAGCTTGTTAGCTGGTCCATGAGATGAGAAAGTCAAGGAGCTGGCACTGATTTATTTATTTATTTTTTAAACCTTCCCCAGCACAGAATTCCAGTTTTACTCCAATGCTAATTATTTTCTCATCAATCTGTTCAGAGATGTTATGACACATCTCTGGAGGCAGTAGGACTTGAACCAGGGTCTCCTGGCTCACAGGTAGGGGCATTACCATTGTACCACAAGAGCCTCCCTATCCCACTCTGCAGCACAGAATTCATTTCAGGCGTGTGCCAAGTACTGGATTTCCCCAATTGCAGCACGCGAGACATCACTACTTTCTTTTGCAATGTGGTATATGCTAGTCCACATCGAGTCTGGTAGAAGGCTGACAGGGTTCAGCCCTGTATTTGTGTGGTCACTGTTTGCAGCTCTCAAGACTCATCAACGTTTGGTCCTCAATACCTGGTGCATGCAGCTGCAGAAGCTTCTAGTTTTAGTGTCACTAATGGCAGTTTCATTTTGCTTGTATACAACAACAGGAACTATAACTTAACACCAGATCACAAGCAACAGCCATCTAAGCTGCAGCTTGCATTATGTTTGAGAGAGTGGAGGCAGGTCTGCACAAAAATACACCTTATTTTTGACTGAAGCAATTTGATTCTGATTGTGTCAAGTGACTTTTTTTTTTAACCCTGTGCATTTCAATGGCACAGAACTAGAAGACAAAGCTAATTTCAAATGCTTGTTTTTATTCAATAATAAACATCCATCATATACCGCTTTTCCTATTGCTCTTGTTCAACCCCATTGTTGCATATACCTAATGAAATGACCTAATCATTAATAGCAGTTACTAATTATTGTATAAGCCTGACTTCTGAATGCAAAGGTTTGCTGCAGAACAAACTACGGTTCAAGAATTTACTCTAACTTTTGCTTTAAAAGGCGAATAGATTATACTTTCATGAAAGCAACCTTATTCTCTCGCATGAAATCCATACAAATAATGCATCAGATCAGTTTTCATTGTTCTTCTACAACCTGGATTCCTTGGCCTCTTTCGGTCTGTAGTATTTTCATCTGCAGGAAAATTGCAGTGAAGTGTGAAAGCGTAATGTACGGTGTGTTAGGGTACGGAGATACAATATCCGAGAATGGGGAAAGGCAGGGAGCCAGTGAATGTCTTTGATCTTTGCAGCACAAGATCCCAGGAGGAACTACGTAATTTGCTGAGCAAGGCTGAAATATTGCTGAATGTGTATTGTGGCTGCTGAAAGGAAATAATCTGCTCCTGTTCCAAATTCAATCATGGCAAACATGTTTGTGAGTTCTCTACTGTCTCAGATTGGGGAGAGGTTTCAAGAGCTCAGTGAGATTTTCAGAGAGGTAAATGCAATTTTCCAGGATACGGCAATGATAACATTATGTGTTCGGATTTCTGATGATCTTCACTGGAGATCTATAAATAGGTGTTTTAATCAGCAGTAGTTTTGAAAACTCGGGTCTTTATGAGCTGACTAGTTCCATGAATATAATTCCCTGCAGTTGGGTCAAGGCCCACAGCAAGATATTTTGCCTTTACAGTCGGGGAGACAGAAACATTTAAAACTATTTGTGGCTCTGTGTCCAGAGAATCTGAACATGAACTGTGACTGCTGTGGACCAAAAACAAATCAACATTCCTTATTTTATCCTGGTTGAGAGTGTATGGCAGGCTGATATAAAAGGAAACAGGAACTTTACTTTCAAAACAAACTGTGGATTCTGCCTCAAGATGTAATTTTCCCTCACTTACTTTTCTGCTGCCAAAAATATTCCAGAAGCACAGTCTGCCTTAAACTCTGGGTCACAATGGTCCAGGAAGTAGAGCAGCTCTTTCATCATTCCTCGGACATTGCTGCCATTAACCAAGGCAAAGCACAGATCCATTGCACGCCTTCAAGGGACAGAGATTAGAAGATCTGCATTAAAACTGGGCTGAAATTAAACATAGCTAACTTTACACATTCTGAATGGAAGTTATCACAGGGAGTTAAACAAGTATGGATCTTAACAAAATTTTAGGTAAGATAATCCAGTATTACGGTAATGCAGCAGGGTTTCTGAGCCCAGGGCTTGACTACTCTATCTGATTTTCTTTTCCACCCCGTGCTGTTTTCTTGCTTTTTCCCTCTCTTTTACTTTATTTACCTCTTGCTGAAGAGCTCAGTCACAGTGACAGCATTACTAGCAGTAAGTGAGCCTAGTGCGGACTCGAATTAGTGTTCCTGGCGGCTTCTGCATCGACAAGACAGTCCTAGCACCTACTCATGGCTGCTGCAGTGGAGGCGAGTTTAGGCTCCTGGTGGCATCTGTGTCCAGCACAAATTCATAGAGGCAGTGGTGGAGTTGAGTTTGGGCCGGTACCATACCTGGCAGCATCAGTGGCATCTCCATTGGTGAGGTCCAGCGAGGACTCATAGCAGTGAGGATGTTGGTGGAGGCAAGATGGTGCCAAAGAGTGGTGACTTTCATTCTAGCAGCAGCAATGCGGCAAAGGGGACTTGAGCCTGGCCAATAGGCCCATGGGCCCATGGTCCATGGTGGAGCACTTACCAAAATGGGCTGTAAACTTTTCCTTTACTTTTCTGCCTTTACATTCTATAGTTTAGTTTATTTTTCTGTGTTTTAAGATGGCCCCAGAGACTGGTGACACTATACAATGCTTTCACTATATTTTATAACAAAATACATGTGACAATAAATCAAATCAAATCAAATCATGTGAAGTGTGCATTTAATTCCAGTAAAATTTCCTGCCACTAGAAACAGTTTACGATTTTCTCTAATGAAATTCTCACAATTTTGACAGAATTCCAAAATGGATTTGGTGTCAACTAAAACTCAGGAAAAACAGACCACATACGCCAGTTAAAGGGCTGAATATGGCTTCCTTTCTATTGCACCCAATTAGGTGGCAATTTCGCACAAACATATTGTATTGAAAAGTGAGTAGTGTGTACATCTTAAGAAGTACAAAGCAACTAAGATCATTTAAGTACCTTGCAGCATCTACTTTGTTCTTTGAACGATATGCAACCCAAAGACACGTTGGGAGGAAGCCCATGTACAGTATACTAAGATCAGCATGGCACTGATCACAAACGGAATTGTACACTACCTACTTCCCTGGAGTTACAAGAACCAGCAACTGCCATAGTTTTATTTTGATCTAAATGGAAACTGACTAAGAATCATGAAATCCAAACTCAGTAAGATGGATTAGATAGATTTGATCATAAAACATGATTAGCGCATGCCACTTGAAGAATGAAACTGACCTATCCAGTGGTTAAGTATAAAGAAAAGATTTGTTACGCCAAGTGCAATTGTTCTCGTTTTCCCTGTTGCCTCTAAATTTCTGAATCTCTGGGGAACTACCTCCACCTATAAACTTTCTTCTTCAGAATGTTCAGATTCTTGTTCATCAATTGCAGATACATTTTTCATAATCAGAAACAAAAATAGAAATTGCTGGAAAAACTCAGCAGGTCTAGCAGCATCTGTGGAGAGAATAGTTCTGAAGGGGGGTCTCTGGACCTGGAATGTTAACTGTTTTCTCTCCACAGATACCGTCAGACATGCTGAGTCTTTCAAGCAATTTCTGTTTTTGTTTCTGATTTCCAGCATCTGCAGTTCTTTTGGCATTTTAATAACGCTTGGAGAGAATGGAGATCAGATTAATATCCTACTTGTTAGACACCCACTACAGCACTGTCAAATCTGTGGTTAGCTTACCGTGAGAGACATTTTACCAATTCAAGATAGATCCTCGGTACAATCTACTTTGAGAGGCTTGCTAATAACTTGCTATTTGGATTTGCCCACATGGCAGCAATCACGAAAAGCTCTATAAGGCTTTCACTTTGCTGTGAATTATGAATGAATCTGGAGGTAGGGCATTATTCTGCAGTTAGAACTTACCGAGGTGAGGATATGAAGGTTTGAACAAGCGATATGCTAGAAGTCTCTGAAAATTTTGCACGAGGAATGTCCTGTTCCCATTAATCCATGGGCAATCTTGAAACAGAAACACCCCCAAAAGTTCCTTGTGGTTTCACTGACTGGTCTGTACTCTCATACAGTGGAACATGGATATTAGTGAATCAGCAAGACAACAGATGGATTTATTAAGGAAATCAAATTCTTCATGCAAGACCCTGCCGTTTCTTAGAAATGTCTTGACTCACCATGGCAGAGAAAAATCGATACACAATCTCTGCTCAGGAGCTGTTAGAATCAAGCTGAAAGTGGAGTGGAGGTAGGTCTTGACCTAAAAGCACATCCACTGGTAAAGATGCTACATTGTCAGCATCTTCTCCGCACCTTCCTTCTGCAAATGAATCAGTGGATGGCCCTTTAAGGTAACTCTACCATGAAAAGAATCTCTATAATTTACACCAAGCTTGGGGTGTGTTACAATACAAAGGTACTATACAAATTTTTCTGAAGAAGGGTCCAGACCCGAAACGTCAGCTTTCCTGCTCCTCTGATGCTGCTTGGCCTGCTGTGTTCATCCAGCTCTATACCTTGTTATCTTACACAAATGCAAGTTGCTATTGCTTATTTTGTCTTTCGTCCATGGTGGAGGATGCTGGCAGCAAGTCATAACCATTTATAACGGTATTTTGCTTTTTAAATTTGGTCGGATATTGTTAAGAAGTTGGGTAGAGTATTCATGAACTGTAAGGCAGGAAGTTAGAGTTTGGTGGTAAAAATGATCGAGGAAGGCTCACCTGACCCCAAACGTTAATTCTGATTTCTCTCCACAGATACGGCCACACCTGCTGAGCTTATCCACCAGTTTCTGTTTTTAGCTCTAATTTACAGCATCTGCAGTTCTTCAGTTTTTAGATGATCAGAGAGTTTGGTGGCACTGGTTGAATTTTAAGACACAAAGGCTTGAGTTGAGTCCAAATTAGAAAAAATAAAGTCTATTGTTTGTGGAGATATTACTCAAGATGACTTTTGCCCAATCTTAACCAAGCTGGTGTGGGTTCAAACAACACTGCCTGAAATTTGGCAAAAAAACTAGAGGGCTTGCTAGAGTACTAGCTGGTTTGCAAAGCTGTATGTCACAATTGTGACTTGTGAATAATGTTGACTGCACAGCTGAGACAAAGGAGAAACTGTTGCTGATGCGTTGTGTACAGTATACCCAAGTAAGGAGTAGTAATGATACTGGTTCGATCAGAAAGCATTTCCTTTGCTGGCACCAGCTTTATCAAGCAAAAAAATTCAAATGAAAGGGATAGAAAGACTACCAGTGATATTTGTAACGTAAAACTAAAATTCACGAACAATCATTGTTCTTTTTAAAAAAGAATTCTGATATCCCGTGGAATCAGGTCATGAAGGAAACTCAGCTTGATAATGATAAAACATTTTGACTTATAAAAAGGTTTGATTTAAAATATGGCAAATAAAGTGACCTAAAATAAACTAAAAACATTTGAAGTGCTCCAATGTGGCCACCACATGCAAGCTAACAAAACCAAGTATAGACATCAATGTATACTGCTACAGGGAACTGGTTAGAGAACTTCAGCAAGATCCACAAAAAAACCGACTTATCTTCATTTGTCCAGTGGTAAAGACAGGGTGGTACTGAATCACATAGGCTAGGAGCTGTCAGGTTAAATGTCACACCTCTATTGACTGATCCAATTTTTAAGGTTGCAGTAGAAGGCACTAAAATAAGTCAGGTCCAAAGCAAATCAGAGTAGAGGGAAAATATCTAGGGTCTGGTTCAAGTTGTATCTGACTACTCCTGTTCAAAACGGTTTAGTGAGACCGTCAAAAACCAAGTGGTCTATTAACAATTGCAGTCTGGGCCTGTGAATAACAAGCTGTATGGGTGGAGCTTTCGAAAGACACCTTAGAGATACATGTTCGCAGCAGGAGAAGGAAAAGAAACAGAAGAAAAAAAACTATTATATTTCTTACTCCAAAAAGGAATATAACCAGCTATAATAGAGAGAAAAAAAAAAACTGGTGTTGAGATGAAACACTGCGAACTGAAAAATTTCCAAAACCCAGAAGATTAAAGCACATGAAATATTCTCTATCTGAAACCGAGTAACAGCAGCCTGTAAGGGACTGTGTTGGTGGAGAAACTGAAATTACCCCATTATCAATAGATCAAGTTCTGCTTTTGAAATCACATGACTATCACCTTTTAATGGAGACATCAAGGTCTGTTAGGCAGTCTACGATTGTACTCCTGTGTCTCTGTACTGCATTGTGGTCTGTCTGCACCATTTTCAACAGTGACGTCAGTGCAACGTACCTTTAGAGAGAAGAAAATGTAAAAGCCTTTAGCATAAGTTACGTATTTACTGGCACAAAAGCAAATTAGTTTAGAAAGAGGAAGTTGTATTCCCCCGCAAACCATGCACATGATCAAATATAGGAACAAGACTTTTGTCACTCGAGAGTCAGAATGACAAAAAAAAAGAAAAAAAAAAAAAAAAAAAATCACATGGTAATGCTTGGAAGCCAAATCATTGAGTTACAGTAAATTCAGGATCATCCTGGATTCAACCACCTCACAAAAGACAGCTTGGTTATGGGTGTCTCTTAGCTATCATGATGAAGGGAAATAAATTTTGAAGGTCGTCTTGAACATTATAGTTATCAAAAGTGAACAAGAGAGAATTTTTAATTCCCTGCAGGAGTATCTATGGAGCCACTGGTTGAGTGGGAAGTAATAAGCCCATTGAGAACCCAACTCTGTTTAAACAACTAAGAGAAGTCTGCACTACCTTACCCGACTTATACAAAAAAAAACAGGTTGCTCAACCCAACCAGTTTATGTGGACTTATAAGCTCCACAGACCTTGGTGGGATGGCAGTCAGCGACCTGGAACAGAGCAGATGGCCAGTAGCCTGGAGCAGAGCGGGGATAGTGGCCAGCAGCTCAGAGCAGGGACTGCAGTCAGCAAGTTTGGAGTAAAGATGGCTACTGGTTAGGAACTAGTGGAGCCTGGACAGACGATGTGGAAGCCGTTGTAGAAAGACCGTAATGTCTACCTTTTAGCTTCATTTTATATTGTTCTAACTTATGTATATCTATAATGTAGTTTAACTCCTTTACTTTATTTTCTCTATCTTTTGTGCCCAAGATTTGTAACTAGGTACTCTGAACCTAAGACGGCACTGTGTATTGGCGACCTTGTACAATTTTCACTGTACTCCTGTTCTGTGTCAAGATGGCAGCAGAGTAGGACGCTCTGGTCAGAGCTTGTCGGCTCACCAGTACCCTTCCCTTCTTTTTTTTTCCTCTTTGTAGCTTTTCTTTTTCTATAACACCCTCCACAGCCACCCCACCCACCATCCGCCCTACCTAGTGTGTCCCGGGGTGGGGCGGGGCAAGCCCCGGGGTTTGGGGGTGGGGGGTGGGGTGTGGGGCTGCAGGGCGAGCGTGGGCCGAGTCCTGCAGCACAGCCAACGGGCGACTCCCGGAGCAGCTGCAGAGCGAGTCCTGGATGGAAGCTGGCACGATCTCGTGCTCTGGGGCCTGCAGGCACTGACTGCAACTTAAGTACTAATGGTCACTTGTTATCTTTCTGGATTTTTTCACTGTTCTATGCTAATCTATATATTTTTTCCACTCTGCAACAACAATTTTTTTTCATTCTAAGATCTGTACCTAGGTGTTTGTACCCAAGATGGTGCCATTAAAGGCAGCGACTCTAAAAACATTTCATTGTACTTCCGTACTGGAATACATTTGACAATAAAGGATATTCTATTCTATTCTTTTCTATCTTGAATACACATGGCAATAAACCTAACTTTAATTCTACTTTATCTCACTCCATCAAAATCTACTTCAGTATTTTTTCCTTAACCTACTTATCTAACTTCTGCCCTTTTGAGCAACATGCAGTAGGGGGTTCTACATTGTCACAACAATGCAGGATACAGAAGCTTCTCCTGAAATCCTTTATGAATTAATGAAATCTAAGTATTACAGAAATATAGATGAAAAGAAAGGAAAATTTGGTGTAGACACAGACTAAACAGCTGGGTCCAATTGCTCTCATGAATCACTTATGAGGTGTGGTAGATTGCTGCACACATGATCATGTTTAAGCCATGAATAATTTATGTAAATACATCATTACAAAATGACTAGCACCCCGGCATCTGACGTCTGCTAGACACTGGAAGATTAGTGCGATGGCCTTGACATTTCCCTCCCTCTGTGGAGCTGTCTGGCTTTGTCAGATCAGAATTGGTAGAGAATGGATATTCCTACTTGCAACTCACTCAAAATGATAGGGTAGACAGCATAATAATAATTAAACATGCACATACCAACAACTCTTCACATTTTGATCCTCCAGGTTAAAAAATTAACAGCAAGATTATAACTTATCATGCCCCCAGTTTTTATGCTACTTCCCACCCCGCATTCTAATATAATATAATGACGCTTTGATACCTAACAATGAGTTCAGTTTCACATACCTTGATTGATCTAATAATCAAACACTTAAAAGTCACTGCATCAATTTATAAATCAATAAATAGTAGGTCCCTAGAGAGTACGGAGGAACAAAGGTACTTTGGTCTACAAGGCCACAGACCTCTGAAGATGCCAGCACGGGACAGTAAGGTGAAAGCGGCATACAGGATGATTGCCTTTCTTAGCCAGAGGATGGAATATAGGACCAAGGAAGTCTTGTTACAACTTTATAAAATATTCGTTAGGCCACAGATGGAATACCGTGTGCAGTTCTAGTCGCCACACTATCGGAAGGATGTGACTGCACTGGAGAGAACAGAGGAGATCCCCAGGCTATTGCCTGGGATGAAAAGTAGGAGGACAGACTGGATAGTCCAGGTTTGCTTTTCTTTGAGTAGGGCAGGTCGAGGGGGCTGCTGATTGAGGTAATCAAAATTATGAGAGGCATAGACAGGAGATACGACAACCTTTCTGCAAAGCAGACATGAGTAAGATTAAAGAGCACAAGTTTAAGGGGAGGAGTAAGTGGGTTAGAGGAGAGCTGAGGAAAACTTTTCACCCAGAGGGTGGAAGAATGACGGAACATGTTGCCTGAGAAGGTGGTGGAGGCAGGTATTCTCACAATATTTAAGAAGCATCTGGTTGAATAATTAATTAAATTGCCAGAGCATGGGAGGCTACGGACCAAGTACATGTAAATGGGATTAGTATAAGTTGGTGTTTGTTGATCAGCAAAGACATGGTGGGCTGAAGGGCCTGTTGCTATGCTGTTGACTCTATGACTCTAACAAACTTGCACAGGTGTTAGTTTTTCTTCATTCGAGGCTGTATCCCTTTCAAAAATGTTGCCTTCCAAGGTAACATCATTGCACACAGATGTCATACTTCAAATATTTCCACCATAAAACTGTCAAGGGTGGGGGTGCTCTTGTGGCACCATGGTAGCATTCCTACCTTTGAACCATGAGGCCCGGGTTTAAGTCTCAGCTGTCCCAGGGATGTGTAATAACATCACTGAACAGTAGGTTAAGGAAAATAGGTTTAAAAAACGCTTTAAAAATTAAAACTGTCAAGGGAGGGCCCTTGTGGAATAGTAGTAGCATCCCTGCCTCTCAGCCAGGAGACCTGGGCTCGTGTCCCACCTGTTCAGAGGTGTGTAATAACAGCTCTGATCAGATTGATTAAATAAACAAAATAAAACAAAACTGTCATATTTCTCCTGCATCTCTATGGGATTAAAGCACGAATAATCTGCAAAATGTCATTCTCTTGTTATTTGCCCATAAATGGAATCAAAAAGCTAGAGAAAGCAGTTACATTAAACTAAAGTTAAATTAATAAAGGAGAAGTCAATGTAATTGAAGGATTAATTACAAGGCCAGAAACAGAAAGAGGACCAAACTGTAAGTCTGCATTTTACTGCTCTTCGGATCCAATTTATATCACTTCTGTCTTTGCAAAACTAAAAGCATATTTTATACCTGCCACTCAATTTTTACGTCAATTTATGGAATTCATAACATCACTGTATTCTCAAGAAGGATCATCTTGTCATGTTATTAATTTCTATTTCATTATTTCATTATTGAAAGATGAGCAGAATTGCAAGTCACTGCAGAATTAAAATGAAACTTTTAATTATGTTAAACATTTATCATGCACAAAATTTAATATTTTGACAACATACAAAGTTGAACAGCACAGGATTGATGTTCCCATTACTAGTTTTACCCAGGAGAAAGAGTTAATGGTTACAGTCAACATATTTTAAAAGAACACTTACCGAATATTTTTATCATTGTTTAATAAAAATCTACCCAAAATATTTACAGCTAGAACCTGAGAATAAACAAACAAAACTTCAGTTATTACAAAACTAACAGACATGTGTTTCAATAAACAACAGATTTATCAATTATGATCCATTTGCTTCATGAATTCAGGCAGCTATGTATTTTACAGAACTATTGTCCCTGACAGTGATGTCACTGACTGGTATTGCTCAGCAAGCACTGGAAGCACTTCTAAATTCAACAAATGCAGAATCCAAGTTTGATTAGTTTGGAAATACTCACCAGGACAAAGTAGAGGATGGTTGCTAGCACCCATGGAATTGCATTCAACCATTAGCCAAGAGAGGAATAAGCTACGAAATAGTCATTTAGTATATAGCAATTATTACAATATTAACCTTAATTGGGGGCTAAAATTCCAAATTCTGAATTTCAGTATCACCATAAATATGCTGTCCTAGAGATTCTTTTCTCATAAATTGCCCATTATTCTCAAATTTTAAAAGTAATTTTCATCAGTACATCTATGTTGTGAGAAGGAAGACCTTCAATATTACTTCTAGAGCAAGGTGGGAATGATTACATCAATGTCATGCCCTCTTAATGTGGGAACATCTGTCCTGATGTATAATGCTGATATTTCTACTGGGATTGGCAACATGATAAACCATGGTAGAAATGTGCATCCTGCCACTGCATGGCGCTACACTCAAACAATCCCCAGGAACCTTTGTGAATGACTTGTATTTTTTGAAGGAAAACAAAGCATCTACAAACACTTTACTGAAACATATATGCATTCATTTTCTTTGTTCTCTATGGATGATAACTGAAGCCGGAATTCCTACTCCATCCAGTCACTGGCGACCGCTGTAAAGTCTTCTACTTACAATCATATTTTAAAATACTCCCTTATCCCTTGAAAAAAGGAACTGATAACTGATTGATGCTTCCAAATGTCTAAAATGAAGTAGGTCTGTACAGGAATACAAAATGGGACTGTACATAATGATCAAACTGCTCCACAACATCTAAATGTAAATGCTCCACAACATCGAAAGAAGCTTCCTCTCCATATTCACTGCTGCTGGCAACAGTACCACAGTTAGTCTGTATGCCTTATGCAAATTGCCAAGGGTTGCATGCATGACCCAATAGCTAGCATAAACAGTTCACAGCTAAATTCAATGCTACTCTCAACTATCATTCACCAACTTCATGTTCTAGTACAAACACTATATGGGAGCAGATTAACACTGCTGGTTGTGGTCTCCCTATCCCTAACCTGAGATGTCAAGGGCAAATATATAACTCCAACTGTAATGTCAACTGAGTTCAGCTAATTCAGTACAGGATTGGAGTCAAAATTAGGAGCTTTATTGTTTTGTTAACAAATGACCGAGGGCCACCGGAAAAATCAGCTTTTCTTTTTCAAAATCTTGTATTACAGGATCAGCGGTAACACGGGTCTGACAACTACAAATGTAACAGGATTGGGTCATACTCAGAGTTAGAATAATTCAATGTTGTTTACTTCAGTATTTTCCAGAACAATGTCAATTTAGTCACAAGTAAATCTTACTTACCCTCAATCCACTCTCAGACTTAATATCCATCACGGTTAAAACAGTTTCATATAAAATAGCATTGCCTACATTTTTACTGGTTTCAGTGTTGGTTGCAACCTAAAATGAAAACACCATATTACAAACTATGATAATTTTAAATTCAAGCACACTTTATAAATTAGGAGAAAGGGACTATATTTTGTAGGATATAGATGAGTGTTACATTTATTCAAGCATGAACAGTTTTATTATGTCATCACATGTCAACCAAGTGGTCATTTTAAACAGTTATTAATTCCGCACTGCACTGCATCATTACAGATAAAACTCATACAATTTGTGACTGAAATGTCAGGATAATAAGAACCTCAGTCAACTGCAAACCAAAATCGAGACCTGTTTGTACAAAGCAACCGGAGTTCAGACATTTTGTCTCCTGGAGTGGTTCACAGTTTCTAATTCAAGAAAGGCTCATTCTATAATGCTTTAATACAATACGGCTTTATCAATTATGCCAAAATGCTTTTCCAAGATATTTTTATTCTATTAAAATAACAAAGTCATACAGCTGTAAATGCTGATGAAACAAAGAATCCTCAGAACTCAGTCCAATTAACAGACTTTTTTCTTAATTGAAACGTGTTCTAATATAGAAAACAAGGAATGCCCAGTGACAAGTTATTTCCCCATATTCTTTCGTCTCTCCTGAAAAGGTAGATCACCAATACATTAAGTGCCATTCTTCATCTCTGTGCCATCACTGGAAGTGTTGAAAGACTATCTGGTCATGGAGAGCCACAGCTTTGCCTGATCCTGTTGTCACTCACTGTTGACATGTACACTTGTGTGCAGAACTTATCATTGAGGGAACTAAAGTATTGAGTCATACAGCATAGAAACAGGCCCTTCGGTCCAACCAGTCCATGCTGACGATAATCCCAAATTAAACTAGTCCCACCTGCCCGCACTTGGTCCATATCCCTCCAAACATTTCTTATTCGTATACTTATCGAAACTTCTTTTAAAATGTTGTAACAGTACTTGCATCTACCAATTCCTCGAAATTCATTCCAAACCATAAACCACACCCCATGTAAAAAAATGTCCTTCATGTCTTTAAAAAATCTTTCTCCTCTTACCTTAAAAATACAGCCCCTAGTCATGAAATCCCTCACCCTAGCAAAAGGGCACCTGCCTTTCACCTTATCTATACCCTGCTTGATTTTATAAGCCTCTAAGGTCACCTCTCAGCCTATCCTCATAACTCAAACCCTACATTCACAACAATATCCTGGTAAATCTCTTCTGACCCCACTCCAGCATTTTTTAGAAGTTTTATTTAATTTATTGTAGTCATATGTACCCAAGTACAGTGAAAAACTTTGGTTTGCGAGCAGTATAGAAAACAAGGACATAGAGATCAAAAGAGTGCTTAGGCAGAGCGAAGCATACAGGTTACAGTGCACAGGATAAACGTTATTTGAAGTTAGAGAGTCCATTCATCAGTCTAATAATGACCGGGAAGAAGCTGTTCTTGAACCCCTTGGCGTGTGTGTTCAAGTTTCTGTATCTTTAACCTGACGAAAGAGGTTGTAAGAGAGCATTGCTGGGGTGGGAGGGGTCTTTGATGATGTTGGTGGCAGCCTTTTGGCAGCAATGAGCCATGTAAATGGAGTCCACGGATGGGAGGTTGGCTCTGCAATGGTCTGCGCTGTGCACACAACCTTCTGTAACTTCTTATGGTCCTGGGCAGAGCAGTTGCCCTACCAGTCCATTATGCACCTGACAGCATGCTTTCAATGGTGCATCTGTAAAAGTTGGTGAGGGTCCTTGTGGACATGCCGAATTTCCTAAGCTGCCCAAGGAAGAGACGTTGTTGTGCCTTCTTGATCATTGCATCTACGTGGGAAGTCCAGGACATGTTGTCAGTTATCGTCACTCCTAGGAACTTGACGCTCTCAACTCTCTTCACCTTAGCTCCGTTGATGCAGATGGGGGCGTGTCCTCCACTTCTTGAAGAGGATGATCAGTTCTTTTGCTTTGCCGACATTGAGAAAGAGGTTATCATCATTGCACCATGACACCAAGGCCTTTATCTCCTCTCTGACTCAATTGTTGTGTGATATCTGTCCTACCATGGTGAGGTCATCAACAAACTTGCACATGGCATTCATTCATAATTTGGCTACACAGTCATGGGTGTACAGGGAGTACAGTAGGGGGCTGAGAAGGTGCAATTGTCTGTCTACACTGATTGCAGTCTTTAGGTCAGGAAGTTGAGGATCCAGTTGCAGAGGGCAGAGTCGAGATCTAGGTCCCAGAGTTTTGAGATTAGTCTGGAGGGGATTATGGTGTTGAAGGTGGAGCTGTAGTTGATGAGTAGGAGTCTGATGTAGGTGTCCTTGTTATCCAAATGTTCCAGGAATCAGTTTAGGGCTAGGGAAATGCCATCCACTGTGGACCTGTTTCATCAGTAGGCAAAGTGCTGGGGATCGAGGCAGCTTAACAATATCCTTCCTATAACAGAATGACCAGAACTGGACATAGTACTCCAGAAGAGGCCTCACCAACGTCCTGTACAACCTCAACGTAACAGCCCAACTCTTATATTCAAAGGTGCAAGCAATGAAGGCAAGCGTGCTAAATGCCTTCTTAACCATCCTATCTATACAAGAAGCAAACTTCAAAGAATTATGTACCTGAACCGTTTTTAAAAAAAACCGCTTTTAAAAAAAAACTTTCAAAGCTTTTCATGTTACACTCATCAGGACAGATGAAAGAACACTACATTTTCAAAGGGAACAACAATTTGTACTGCACAAGAAAAGGGCACTGATTTTTTGACAAGTGAACTGTGCTTAGTCGAGGCTTGTGATGGAGACGACACCAGGAAACAGTTCTCCCCAAAATTTTTGCTTACATTCAAAAAAGGCATGCCTACTTGGATTGTTTGAAGCATTGGTCAAGGACTGCCTAACTCCCTGCTTCTATTTATTTTTTAAAAAGTGCAACGTCTGGTTATATTTTGTTTGCAGATGACAGAGCTCTGCACATGAATATATGTAACCCATAGCAAGCATAAGTGGGCCACATTGCAAGCCCAACATTGTTAAATTAGTTGTTGCACAATTATTAATATACATAGAATTGTTTGGCAAGTGTTGTCCAACAGTGAATTACAGGCATGGGGTTCACTAATATTCGCATTCACCATGACAAGGCCACTTCTGAACAAATCAGCACCTTTCTCACATAAAATATAAATGGTCACTTCCTTTAAAATTTAATATTCTTGCACTTGCCCTGATTAGTGCAAGATGAAAAGCCTCAACAATGTATCTCTTTTTTTCAGCAATATTCAAGTTCTACACCACAGAGTAATTATGGGAACCAATCCTTATTCCATGGCCGTAGAGGAAAATTGTTGCATTTTAAGAAATAGATTAGATAATGTGCAACAGATCAGAGATAAAACATGGGATATCCTGGCCTGTAATTTATTGGTTCCAAAAACATTGCAGTCTGAAGAAGCAGTAGAAAATTCAATTTTAAGATACAAGAACATAAGAAATTGGAGTAGGCCATTCAGACCCTCAAGCCTATCCCAATGAGGAAAGGCTGAGGGTCTTGAGGCTGTTTTCGTTAGAGAGAAGAAGGTTAAGAGGTGACTTGATAGAGACATACAAGATGATCAGAGGATTAGATAAGGTGGACAGTGGGAGCCTTTTTCCTCGGATGGTGATGGCTAGCACGAGGGGACATAGCTTTAAATTGAGGGGTGATAGATATAGGACAGAGGTCAGAGGTAGGTTCTTTACTCAGAGTAGTAAGGGCGTGGAATGCCCTGCCTGCAAAAGTAGTAGACTCGCCAACTTTAAGGGCATTTAAATGGTCATTGGATAAACATATGGATGATAATGGAATAGTTTAGGTTAGAGGGGCTTCAGATTGGTTTCACAGGTCGGCGCAACATCGAGGGCCGAAAGGCCGGTACTGCGCTGTAATGTTCTATAATGTTCAACAAGATCACGGCTGATCTGCCTCAGGCCTCTGTTCCTCTTTGTGCCAGCTCAGCACAGCCATCAACTCCCTATTTCAAATATCTATCTACCTCAGTGGTCTAGCCTCCACTACTCTGTGGTAGAGAATTCTAGACACTCATTATCTTCTTGAAAAAAGTCCTTTGCATCTCAGTTCTGTCCCTACATCTCCTAGTTCAAGACCAGCCCACTAGTGGAAACATCTTCTGAAAATCTACCCTGTTAAATCCCCTTACAGAATTTCGCATGTTTCATTAAAATCACCTCTCATTCTTTTGAATTCTAATGAATAAAGGCTTACCCACTTTAGTTATTTTGAATAAGGGGACACCTCATTCCAGGAATCAATCTAGTAAATCTCTTTTGAACAGCCTCCAACTCCAGTATATGTGGTTTTTAAATATGGGGCCTAAAACTGTACATAGTATTTCAGGTAAAGTTGTACATTTGTAACAAGACTTATTATTTTTTAAAATTCCAAACCCCCAGCAAAAGGGCTAAAACTTTCATTAGCTTCCTTAATTACTATCTGCACCTACATGCTATCATTTTGTGTTTCATGCACAAGGACATTCAGATCCCTTTGTGCTGCATTCTGGAGTCTTGTGCCATTTAAAAAAAAAAGTCTGCCCTTTGTTCTTCCTACCAAAGATCATGACCTGACAGTTCCCTACATTAAATCACATCTGGCAAGTTTCTGCCCACTCAATTTATTTCCATTTGCAGATTCTTTACACTCCCATCGCAATAGGCTCTAATTTGGAAAAAATTACATTTTGCGCCCTTATTCAAATCCCCAATGTAGGTAGTAAATAATTGAAAGCCTAGGGCTGGCTTCTACAGCACACAAGTTGCACTTTTTGAACTTAAAAATTAACCCTGGAGTTGTCTTCTGTGTGTTAACCAATCCTCAACCTATACTAATACATTACCCCTAATGGCGTGAGCTCTTATTTTGTTCTTTTCTAAATGTCATACTATTTCTCCCTTAAAAATGGACTCTAGTATTTTTCAAATGACAGACATCAGAATAACTGGCCTGGTTTCCTACTTTGTCTCATCTCCTCTTGAACAGGGCATACAATCGCAGTGTTCCAATCCACTGGAATCCTCCAGGAATCCAGTGAGCTCTGGAATATTTCAACCAACACCTCCATTAACTCTACAGCAACTTCCTTTAAAACCCTTGGACACAGGCCATCAGGTCTACAACTTGTATGCCTTTAATCTCACTAGTTTGCTCCTCAAGATTGAGATTGTTGCAAGATCTTTCCTTCCATTTGCATCTTGCCTGTTATCTTGGGATATATACAGTGTCCTCCACCCTGAAGGCTGATGCAAGACATTGGATTAAATTATCTGCCATTTTCATGCTCCCTGTAATCAATTCCCCAGTTTTGCTGTCCAAAGGTACTCTCTTTATTTATACTCATAGAAGCTCTTGCCGTTTGTTTTTATATTCCTTACCAATTTACTTTTATAGTCAGTTTTGTCACTATTAGCTTTTTAAGTCATGTGCTGCCAGTTCCTAAAAAGTTCTCAATCTTCTGTCCTACCACTAGCTTTCTACAATTTGTATGTCTTGGGTTTTGATTGGATACTCTGCTTTACTGGCTTAGTTAACTATATTTTCTTTCTCAAACTGATCTGCATTTCATAACATGGAGAAAAGTAATTTTTCTATTGTTTAGAGAAATCAAACAAAATGTCACGAATAATGTGGACGACCAAGTCTGCTTTCAACGTCATTTATTATTGACAAATTTTGTTGATTAACAGAAACAATACTAATCATCGTCGTTTTATAAAAACATATGTTGCAGGCTGGTAAACCTACTGATTGCTGCACTGTGGCTGAAATTAGCAAACCGCATTCTACCTTTGAAGACCTAGAAGAATAGAGGCTGCATGGAAAGAGAGAGGCCAGAAATTACAATGTACAAGCTTATGACAGGTCTCATTGCATAGGAAGCAGCTACATCCAGGGCAATGTTCTATTTTTGATAGAGCTGTGGGGTTTCCAAGATTTAATAATCTCAGATATGAGTATTACAAAAAAAAGCCATTTTCTCGAAGCTTTTCATCTTGTGCCCATCAGGAAAATTCACAAGAAATACTAAAGTAAAGGAGAAATCAACATTTATACTGTATGAGGGGACAGTGTTATTAAGTCGGCAAGTGGACTCTGGTAGAGGTGTTGTCATGGAGAATGCACCAGCATAACAATGACGACAGTTAACAACCAAGCTTTCTTTAAATTTTAAACTAGGAAGGTTCACTCTGATTGGTCAAGGCATTCCTTTGAGAAACAAACTAGAAAATGGCTGTCATGTATTTTGGTGAGTTGAAACCAGGGTAGTCTATGTACCTGTTCTGTCAGCAATGAACTCGCCCTGTGTATTAAATACATGGAGTTTCCAGCAAACACTTGCCACACAGTAAGCATGGCAGACAATCCTAAATTGGCGTCAGCATACCAGGTCATTTAGCAAATGTTGTTCTACCACAAAACATATCTAGTGTTGGACACATTGAAAGTTCTGCAAGAAGGGGCTGTTTGAGAATGGTCAATATCTTGCTTGTTGGGAACAGCCATTAAATTGATACCCCTTATAGTTTAATACTTTCGGCAAGTACCAGCATCACATGAACTTTAACAGGATGCAACAGTCAAGCCCAAAAGACGTTCTGTCTCTCACTCAAACGAGTAACGTGATATAATTCATAGAATCCCTGCAGTGAGGAAATGGGCCCTTTGGCCCAACGAATCCACCCCGACCCTCAGAGCATCCCATCCAGACCTATCTCTCTATAACCCAACTAATCTACACATCCCTGAACATTATGGGCTATTTAGCATGGCCAATCCACCTGACCTGCACATCTTTGGACAGTGGGAGGAAACCAGAGTACCCGGAGGAAACTGACGCAGACACGGGGAGAACGTGCAAACTCCACAGTCACCCGAGGATGGAATCGAACCCAGTTTCTTGGCACTGTGAGGCAGCAGCGCTAACCACTGAGCCACTGTGCCACCACAAACAAAGGCTAACAGGATCAGGAAGTGCTCATTTTGCCGAAACCCAGGACTGAACCAGAGCCCTTTAGATCTTCTGTCTAATATATGAATTTCAGTGCTGGCTTGGTGCTATTGCTACAGGAATAAAACCAAATTAAGTGGTTCATCAATATTTGAATTCTGATGAAGGTACAGCAGTTGAAGCTGCAATGCAATTTATTTGTGCTTCCTGAGGCTTCGGTGCATTTCATACATCATAATTTTCTTCAATTTCTCTAGCTTCTAACGTGGCTTCCACGGGCTCAGGCAGCCTTCAGCCTAATCTGAATTTACACCCTTCAATTGCAGTGGAGGAACTCCAGGATGCATAGCGATACTGCCAGACTTGCGATCAATGGAATTCTGCTCAAGGGTCTCCATGAAGGGAGTAGAATTGGTATTCTAAAAGTACAGGTACGATCAAAATTTCAGCTAAAATAATTAGTTTCTACTTTTAGAAGGAAGCAGCTTGAAAAAAAAACACAAACTTCTGAATTTTTTTTCTTTAGCCCTGAGAAAATCCTTCGCCATAATGGTAATGGTAATTAATTTAAAATCACAGAAGACAGAGAGAGACAGTATGGCTACAGAGAGATGAGAGGGGACTGGTCTGTGGAGCATATACGTTCCGCATGCACCAACCAACCCGACCTTCCGGTTGCCATCCACTTTAACTCCCCCTCCCAACCCCCACACCCCTGGTGACATGTCTGTCCTTGGCCTGCTCCACTGTTAGCATGACGCCAAATGTAAACTGAAAGAACAACACCTGATATTCCACCTTGGGAGCTTACAGTCCAATGGCCTGAATATTGATTTCACCAGTTTCAAAATTTCTCCACCCCCAACCTGTCCATCTTCTGACTCACCTATCCGCTCCACTTTTCCCATTGACTAACCACAATAACCCCCTACCTGCATCCACCCATCTCCATTCCACTTACCCTCCCCCTAGCCCCAAGCCCCTCTATTTATTTCTGGGCTCCCCTTCCCCTCCACAGTGCTGAAGGAGGGTTTCGGCCTGAAACAACTGATTTTCCTGCTCCTCTGATGCTGTCTAACCTGCTGTGCTTTTCCAGCTCCATATTTATTGACTCTAGGACCAGAGGGCATAGTCTCAGCAAAAAGGGGCACCTATTTAAGATAAAGATGAGGAGAATTTCCTCTGAGGGTTAACAGTCTTTGGAATGCCTTGCTATAGACAGCGATAGGGTCATATTTAAGTCTGATATAGACAGAGTCATAGGGTAAACGCAGGAAAGTGGATGTGAGATGTGCCAAATTAGCCATGATCGTATCGAATGGCAGCTCGAGCTCGAGGGGTCGAATAACTTATTCCTGTTTCTATTTCTTATGGTCTTATAGCCTAAATATAAGAGGCTGGGTCAAGATTGAATAACGAAGCCATGGGGTGACTGATGGAAGCCTCTAGGTTGAGACTACCAGACAGTACGTTGATTTCTGGTTTGCTTAATGGAAGGGACTGCATATTTAACTGGGTGTAGAGGAACATACAGCACTTGGTATCTGCATTTCAGGAACCAAAGTGCTCAAATCCCAATTCATTACAACTTGGGGTGCAGGACACAGTTATGTTCGAAGCATTGCTGTAATAAAACCCAATAAATTTTCACACCAAGACTGCAAGTCATTAAAACATCTGAAAATGCAAGACTAGATTTTCAAAGCAAATGACTAAATAACAAGTGATCTTTTCTTTATCTAATGTTTTGGTCTTATACCCAAGAGATATTTTGCCAAGGGAACTTGTCACTGTGCTCTGAATTTATCTATTAAACCACTCACCTGAGCGAGAATATCATTCATTTGTTCACTGGCTTCATCGTCACTTTTCCCCAACATTCTCAACAACCTTAAAATCTGGACCTGCAAAGTAAAAAATAAACCCACAAAATACATAAACCTGAACGAACAGTGGGACACTGAAACAGATGGACAATAGACAACTGTTCAGACAGTACACTTCAATCAGAAGTTAAAGCATCTCAACACAAGATCGGGAAACAAACTTAAAAATTAAAAATATTTATAATTACAGAGGAGCAAAATAATTAGAATTAAAATCTAGTTTTCCCAACAGAAAATGGCAAATGAAAACGTGCACCATACAAAGTCTGTTTTTTGCTTTGATAAACGTTGCCTAGACAGCAACCAGATGTGATAGCGAGGTTGTACTTGGGGAACGTGTGCAAGAAAAAATGAGGATTCAGACCCTGGGTAGAGTTCAATAATTCAACACTATGAAGTAAAAGTTTTAATTGGAACTTATGAGCAGCAGAACCAGGTGATGATATTCCACAGTACATATCTGGCAACTGTTCTCTTAAATTACAGAAGTCTCAGTGTTGGTCACAATGAGGGAGCTGACACCCAGTTAACTTAGTGCTGACAATCATGATCGCTATCATGCATAGCTGTTAGCCAGTTGATAAAATTAAATGGGGAGCTGCAGGGGATGGGACCAAGGGATCAAGTGAAGAATGGAAAGCAGCAGAGCATGCAAGAAGAATGAGATTTGGATAGTCTTGAAAGACAGAAGTGACAGGGGAGAGAGAATAAACAATAAATGGAAGATTAGAACAAAGAGGGAAAGATAAAATGAAGCCGAAGGGAAGGAAACAGGTTTGGAGCCATCACTATTCAAACCAGTAAAATATGACTGCCTTTGAAAATCTGTGTTTAAATTAAAATAAAAGCAAGAACCAGGAGGAGTTTTTTTTAAAGAAAAGGTCATTTATTAACAATCCTTATTTAAAAGGTAAAATGCAAGCTAAATTTCTAATGAAAACATTCTATATAGTATTTTCCTGTCACGATATTGATGCCATTGGCAGACATCATTAGGTGCTTCATATAGTGCTGTAAAGAAGACCATTGAAAAATAGTTATGTCTTAGACAAAGCTGATCATAGAAATAAGTGGGCAAAAAAATTGGACGGTTACAATAAATGGTAGAACCTTTAGGAGCATTAACATATAGAGGGATCTAGGCATACTGATCTTCAGATATCTGAAAGTGGCAACACATGTGGGCAAGGTAGTCAAGGCAGCATAAGGCATGCTTTCCCTCATTGGCTGGGGAATCGAATATAAAAGTTGGTAAATAATGTTACACCTGTATAAAACTTTAGTTAGGCCACGTTTGGAATACTGTGTACAGTTCTGGTCACTATACGATGAGAAGGACTTGGATGCTTTGGAGAGGGCGCAGAGAAGACCTATCAGGATGTTGTCTAGTCTGGAACGTTTTAGGTATGAGGACAGGTTGGATAAACTTGGATTCTTTTCACTGGAAAGATGAAGCTGAGGGGTGACCTGATAGGTGTCTACAAAATTATGAGAGACATCGATAAAGTGAATAGTGAGAGGCTTTTCCCAGGATGGAAAGGTCAACTACAAGAAGGCACAGGTTCAAGGTGAGGTGGTGGTGGGGGTGGGTGGTGGTGGGAGGACAGAGGTGACGTTTAGGGAAGAAGCATGGGGAAAATTTTTCACACAATGGGCAGTGGGTGCCTGGAACACACTGCCAGTGGCGGTAGTGGAAGCAGGCATATTAGCAACATTTAAGGTATATCTTGATAGACACATGTACAGGCAGGAAAAACAGGGATAGAAACTGCGTATGCGCAATAAGTTGCAAGTCTAAATAAGGATTAGGATGAATGTAGGTTTGGTAGGCTAAAGGGCCTGTTCTTGTGCTGTACTCTTCTTTGTACTGATCAGGTTTATGATTGGCAAGCAGTAGGTCTGGGGTCTCTGGACTTCAGGAAGACATTAAAATAGATATCTTTCAGGAAAGTTATTAAAAAACTCAAGCATTCAGAAGAAGAGGGATAAAGTTTCATGATCCCAAAGTTGGCTGAGAGAAAATTATGGATCGGGGATTAATGGCCATTTCTCAGACTGAACAGTTAGAGGTGTACTACAGTTCTCAGCCCTCTTTTGTTCTTGGACTAAAGCAGGGGAACATGATTTTGAAATCTGCCAAAAACATATCTGCAGCAGGTTTAACAAACACCAAGCAATGTGAAAAACTTCAAAAGGATAGACAAAGACTCCAAATACAACATAATTTGAGAAGTCAACTTTTAGAAAGAAAAACAAGGAATTGAAGAACACAGTTAATGAAATGACCTCGATGGATAAAATTTTTAAAAATTTGTTCATGGGGTGTGCATGAATCGCAGAAAGGGCAGTATTTATTATACACCCCTAGCTTCTCTGGAGAAGGTGGGGAGGGAATAAGCTGCTACCTCGAACCACTGAAGTCCATACATTGTAGGAACACCTGTAGCACGGTTAGGGACAGCTTCAACAAACTGGTGCTTGCAAGTACATCATTTCCTGAAAGAGTGTGCATTGAAAGTTATAAAAAGACCATTAATGTTTTGAGTTTTATAAATAGGAACAAAAAGCATATGAATAAAGGAATAATGAAAAACTTCGTCCAAGATACACAAGGCTATTGTGGATAAAATTGTGATCACTTGTCTCGGCTGGAGACATAAATGAATTGGAACTAGATTGGTCTTAGTCAGGCTGCTGCAGGCATTTTGACAACAATTGTTATTGCCGCTTACATATGAAGAATGACCAGGAGAGACAGGTAGAAAATGGGTACTAATTGATACCCTTCAGTAGTGTCACAGTAAGGAACGTATACTTAAAGGTCAGATGAGGGGAAAATAAAGAAAATGACAGAAATGAAACAAAGGGAAAAAATGTTAATTTTGCCTATTTACGTAATTAGTTAAAAGAGGGGTAAAGACAAGTCATCTGTATTGTTCAATTCAAATATATTGTTACTCCCATATTCGAGGCAAAAGGAGTATTGAGTGCTTTGAGAAAAGACAGAACCAACAACTGAATAAGTGGTCTAATACTAAGTTAATACTAAGTGGTTATTTATTCAGTGGAAAAATTTTACCTGAAGAAAAGGATCACTAATTCCAGATACATCATGCTCTGGAGAGTAACCAGACATAATCAGGTTCTTCAGGGATTTGACTAGCTGTGGAACAACCTAAGATTGAAAAGAACACATATCACATAGCAGAATTTGTGCGTCACTGATAAATAACGTTAAAGAAAATTAACAACCTTTTTCATTATCTAAATCAATTTTTATATAATTTTTAAAATAAATCAACAATGATGCTGGTTACATTAATCACCTCGATTCAATAACGTTGCCTCAGATGAAGGTAACCAATTGAATTAAAATCTTGTTAGAAGGAAAAAAGTAGAGACTATTTTGAGATTATTTATTAACATTGTGTACTTCAATTATTTGACTACATGACTAAAGTGTCTACATTTGCAGACAGTATGCAAGTAACTGTGACTAAAGATAAGTTATCTTTATGCAAGCATATATTGATAAGGTGGTGAAATAAGGGGTTAAAAAGTGGTAGATGGAATTCAATACCAGTAATGCGTGGTAAAGGAAGTAAACTGGATTTAAGGCCTCATCAGACATGGTCTTACTGAGCTGCATAGCAGGTTTGAACAGTCAAATAGCTCACTCCAGCTGCAACTGCTATGTTTTAACACCCTCTATCCAGCAGGGTTTACTAGGTAAACATCAGCAGACACCTTGGTTAGTTTTCTAAACCAACATCCCAGCTAAGGTCGATTACTTTATCAGGGAGCAAGGTCTGGGCCAGTAGCCATCTTGTCCCATCTCAATGGCTGCAATGATACTGAATACATTCAGCAACGGGGAGACAAAAGCATTAGACGTAAATAAAGATATTTAACATTCTTCAAACGGATCAAGATATTCAACACAAAACACCTCCCAAATAAACATGCTGAAGATAATTTTCTTTCAGCAAGGCACTATCTATTTTGGGATACAGTTCCATGGGCATCAACTAACCTCTTATCTTGATAAAGTGACAATTCTTCAGTATGTAGTATAGTAATTTACTGTCACTTGTATTTAGAGAAATACAATGAAAAGTATTTAAGTCACCATAGTCCAGTACCATTTTAATTCCATAAGATATAAAAAAGAAATAATTAAGACAAATTTCAGGATGCACTGTGTCAATAGTTTTTAGACTAATGGAGGTATCAGACTAAAAGGGCCATCAATTGGCCTTTGAGAAACATTTCTCACTAGAAAAGCATAATCTATTGAATAACAGGAGGAACCCTGACTAATCTCTACCCTCTCTAAACCAGGGGTTCATGAAGGCAGTTGCAACCCTTTCTACTGCCAGAGAGTGAGAATAATTGCTGCTGGACTGCACTACAGCAAAGTCTCCAAACCTGCATGGCTCAATATCGTTTCCAACTATTAAGTTAAGAGAGTATCCACCAGAACACAAAACTTCCATGCTAACAACAACGCAACACTATTAACACCTCGATGATCAATTTCACGTTAGAAGACGACATCACACAGAATTAAATGTCAATCCGAACAAGCTATCTATTGACATCTTGCAACCACTGCATATATTTCATGCTGTTACACATAAAGCATGTGCTTACTGTAATACTTAATACAGTACACCATGAAACAATAAAACTGCTCCTTTCCTAGGCTCAATTTTGAAAAAAACTAAGCTTTCGGAAAATGTACATTTTACAAACTTCTGTATTTTTAACTTGTATGATGATTTACTTCTTAATATCTTTCCAGCTCTGACACCACTCTAAGGATTCTGGTCGCTCACTTTGCAACTCCATTACCCACTTTGGGAAATCAGGGTTGAGGGAGACTGGACATGAAGAAAATGAGGGGATTGGATGGGAAGAAACAGGGGAGTTTGGTTGAGGACTAAGGCAGGTCTGGAATGACAGCCTGGCTCAATTATCGCACTCTTGCCCAAGTCAGAACCCACTCCAGGAGCTCAGCACATTAATCGATGCTGACACCCAGCAAGTACAGACGGAGTGATGCACTGAGTAAACTGTCTTTTGGATGAAGTGTTAAACTGAAGTCCTGTCAGTTCTCTTAAATGGATGCAAGGCAAGTGAGTTATTTCTGCTGTTCTGGCCAGTATTTATCCCTCAATCAACACAAACGTTCGAATCATTATTGCATTATGTTTATGGAAATTTGCTATATGCAAACTAGCCAAATCAAATGAAGACAAGCAGCGACAAATGTGCTGCTTAATTTAGGTGTGAAAAGAGTGAAGTAGTGACATTAACTGCAGCTGGTTGTACCTGCTATTTAATCCAAAAATGCACTGAACTTACTGAAAACAGCAAAGTCCAGCTGAAATTGCATTGAATCAGAGGGTGGCAGAGATGTCACTGAGAGGAATTTCGGGAGGCGGCACTGCAGTCACCACGACCGGGCAGTGAATCATGACAGGACACCAAGTGATCGATGCGAGGAAGAGCTTCAAATCAGGATGGCAGAGACGTCACTAACAGTAATTCTGGGAGATGGCACTGCAGCCACCGCGACTGGTCTGAATATCGCAGAGGAACTGGTGTCAAGGAGTGGTTAAACCTGAAATAAGTGTTTCCCCTCCTCCCACCACCTCTAACCAAAAAAAGGATACTGCGAGGAGGACAGGCAAGGTGAGATTCCTATTTTTTTTTTGGAAGTGAACAAGAGCGGAGGTGGCAGTTAGGGCAGATGTGGGAAATCAGAAAGCAGTCTAGTGTCCCTGACAACTACATCTGCAGGAGGTGTGATCAGCTGCAGCTCCTCACAGATTGTGCGGTTTGGTTGGAGAAGCAGCTGGACACCATGCCATGCATACAGAGGGCAGAGAGGGTGATTCTGGGTCTGATGTATAAGGAGAGATTGACTAGGTTGGGATTGTTTTTGCTAGAGCCCAGATGAATGGGCGGGGGGAGTGGGGTGTGGAATCTCAGAGACTTGTAAAATTCTGACAGGACTGGACAGGGTAGATACAGGGAGGATGTTCTCAATGGTGGGCATGTCTAGAACCAGGAGTCACAGTATGAGGATTCAGGGTAGGCAATTTAGGACAGAGATGAGGAGACATCCCAAGTGTTTTGCAACAAGTTGCTGTTTTTATGCAGCAAATGTGCTCTCCAACTTGAGCAAATTGAGTCCAACAAACAACATATGAACGAAAGATCTTTGTTGGGTGTATTGGTTGATTCAGGAATGTTGGCTGAGATAGCAAGAGAACCTTCTATTTTACTTTGAATGAATCTATGAGGTCTACAGCGCAGACAGACTTGGTTTAACATCTCATCTGAAATTTATTAAAACATACTTCATTTTGAGCCCTGAGATTGTTCAGAATCTTTTTAGGACATTCTTTGAGATTAGTGTTCCATCTCTCATATTTGAAGTGGCTGGTCGACAACTGCCTTAGAGTCTTAAAAGAAGCACATTCCACGCCACCTAACGATCAGGTCTCCAGGAGCGCAACACCCACTGACACACAAGTACAGCAACACGTTGGTAATACTGTTGTAACCTTCTCGGAATCTGTCCCCAGGGTTATCCACAACACTAAGACATACCATTCAGAATGTACCATTTACAAAATACCACATTACCTGTGCACAAAAAATGTAATGTTATGGTATGTTGAAATCTAAGAACTATTGTGCAAAGAATGAAAAAAAAGTCAAAAGGAGTTGCAAGCCTTTGTATTGCTAAAGATTCTGTACCACATTGAAATAATTAGTAATAATCAACTCTTCAATTCCAGAAAGAAATTTTTAATTGTTAAACATTTGTTAATTAGACAGATAAAAAGAATATTATCTGTTAAGCTACTTTCAGCTCATTACTGTAGCAGTTTATAAGCACAGTAAGGTTTTATTAATTCTGTGCAGGAATCTGGGAGCATGATAGCAAATAAAGCCAAATGCTCTTCCCTAAAATATGAATTTCTTTTGCACTCATTTTGTGTCCTAATTTTTATTTTAATTATTATTTAGATGCAAAATTCAATGTTTACTAAAACCACAAACGTTCAGACGACATTTATATTGCACGTAGTTAGGATCTATTAGCAAAAACAATTTCAGCAGTCTCATGCATATATTCAACTTAATTTTAGACAACCAATTTGTAGTTCTTGTATATACAATACATTGTAAAAATAAGATTTAAGGAGTTATGGACAGGTCAAGAATATCAACTAGGGGTAATTATCCATCTGATGTACCAGTATATGTACAGATAATGTTGGGAGTAGTTATTTGAGTATATCCTGGTGTATCCTTGAGTATATCCTATTTTCTCTGGAGCGTAAAAGGCTGAGGGGTGACCTTAGCGATGTTTATAAAATCATGAGGGGCACGGATAGGGTGAATAGCCAAGGGTTTTTCCCCAGGGCAGGGGAGTCCAAAACTAAAGGATGAGGTTTAAGGTGACAGGGGAAAGATTTAAAAGGGAACCAAGGGGCAACTTTTTCACGCAGAGGGTGGTACATGTATGGAATGAGCTAACAGGGGAAGTGAGAAGGTTGGTATAATTATAACATTTAAAAGGCACCTGGATGGGTATATGAATAGGAAGGGTATAGGAATAGGAAGGGTTTGGAGGGATATGGGCCAAATGCCGGAAGATAGTTCTAGATTAATTTAGTATGTCTGGTCAGCATGGATAAGTTGGACCGAAGGGTCTGTTTCCGTGCTGTACAACTCTATGACTATGACATTTCTTCACCCAAAGAATGGTGAGCCTGTGGAATTCATTACTACATGAACTAATTGATGCCAAAACACTGAATGTTTTCAAAAGGCAACTAGATATAGTATTTGGGGCAAATGGGATCAAAGGTTACAGGGAGAATGCAAGATTAGGCTACCGAGTTGGACGATCAGCCATGACAGTGAAGAATGGCAGAGCAGGCTTGATGGGCCAAATGGCCTCCTCCTGCTCCTTTCTATGTTTCTACAGAACTAGCTTTAGGGAGATAGTCACACCCCAAGTCCGGATAGATTGATGGGTGACCGCCAGGAGAGGCATGCAGGTAGTGGATATTCCCCTCTCAAACAGATATACTATTTGGGATACTGTTGAAGGGTTAGCCTCTCAGGAGACGGTACAAACTGCAGCCAGGCTTGTGGCACCACAGCTGGTTCTGTTGTAGAGCAAGTTGGGGCAAAGTCCAGGCATGTGATAGTAGTAGGTGACTTGATAGTCAGAGGCACAGCCAGGTGTTTGTGGTCGTGAATGAGGGAAGTGTGTTATCTCCCTGGCGCCAGGGTCCTGGATGTTTCCGAGGGGGTACAGGACATCCTGAAACGGGAGGGAAAACAGACAGAAGTCATCGTCCACATTGACATAAATGATACAGGTAGGAAGGAGGATGAGGTCCGACAAGGACAATTCTGGGATTTAGGTAGGAAGCTAAAAAGCAGGGCTACCAGGGTAGTAATCTCAGGATTACTACCCATGCCACAGGCTAGTGAGGCTAAAAGCAGAGAGAGAGAGTACAGTCCAACACGTGGCCTCAGAGCTGGTGTAGGAGGGAGGGCTTTAGATATATGGATCATTAGGATATCTTCTGGGGAAGGTGGGACCTGTGCAAGAGGACAGGTTGCACCCGAACTGAAGGTGCGAAAAAAAAAGGATAGTTATGGTGGGTGACTGCAACTTTTCTCATATTGACTGGGACTCCCTTAATGCCAGGGATCAGATGGAAAGCAATTTGTTAGATGTGTCCAGGAGGGCTTTTTGAGACAGTGCGTTGACAATTCAATCAGGCAGGAGGCCATATTTGATTTGGTATTAGGAAATGAGCCAGGAAAGGTGATCGATGTTTCAGTAGGAGAGTATTTTGGGCTTAGTAACCATAACTCCATAAGATTTCGAATAGTCATGGACAAGGACAAGAATAGCCCTCAGATGAGGGCACTTAATTGGGCAAGGGCCAATTACATCTAAATTAGACAGGAACTGGGGAACGTGGATTGGGAGCAGTTATTTGAGGGCAAATCTACGTCTGGCATGTGGTAGGCTTTTAAAGACCAGTTGATTAAAGTGCAGGTCACGCACACCCTTGAAAAACTGAAGGACAGGAATGGCAGGATTCCGGAACCATGGATGACAAGGGAAATTGTAAGCTTAGTCAAAAAGGAAAAAGGAAGCATACAACAGGTCTCAGCAACTACAAACTGACAAAGCCCTTGAGGAGTATAAAGAAATTATGACGGAACTTAAATGCGGAATTAGGAAGGCTAAAGGGGCCATGAACTGTCTTTAGCAAACAGGGTCAAGGAGAATCCTAATGCTTTTTATGCATATATTAGAAGAAAGTGGGTAGCAAGGGAAAGAGTAGGCCCACTCAAGGCCAAAAGAGGGAACTAATGCATAGAGCCACAGGAAGTGGGAGATCCTAAATGAGTACTTTGTATCAGTATTTCACCAAGGGAAAGGACATGACTGATGCTGACATAAGGGATGAGTGTGTGAATACTCTAGAAAATGTCAATTTATTGAAGGAGGAAGTTTTGGGTATCCTAAATTGCATTAAGGTAGACAGGCTTACAGAGAATGTTAGAGATAGCATCTGATCCAAGGAAGAAGCATACAGATTGGCCAAGAAAAATAATATGTCTGAGGATTGGGAGCAGTTTAGAATTCAGCAAAGAAAGACCAAGGGATTGATTAAGGAGGGGAAAATACAGTATGAAAGTAAGCTTGCAGGGAACATAAAGACTGACACCAAGAGTTTCTATGGGTACACAAGGAGAAAGAGATTGGTCAAGACAAATGCCCTAAAGGCAGAAATGGGGGCATGTATAATAGGGGACAAAGAAATGGCTGAGCAACTGAAACCATACTTCACAATACTGGACACAAATCAAATACCAGAAATGTTGGAGAATGCAAGATTTGGTGAGGGGAAAGAATTGAAGGAGATCAACATTGGTACAGAAATATTGCTGGGAAAATTGATGGGATTGAAGGTGAATAAATTCCCAGGGCCTGATAATCTACATCCCAGAGTACATAAGGAAGTGGCTCTAGAAATAGTGGATGTATTGGTGGTCATCTTCCAGGATTCTCTAGACTCTGGAACAGTCCCTGCAGATTGGACAGTAGCCTATGTCACTCCAATATTCAAAAAGGTAGGTAGAGAGAAAGCAAGGAATTATAGACCAGTAAGTCTAACATCAGCAGTGAGGAAAATTCTCAAATCTATTATCAAGGACTTTATAGCAGAGCATTTCGAAATCAGTGGCAGGATCAGACAGAGTGAGCTTGAATTTATGAAGGGGAAATCATGCTTTACAAGTCTGTTGGAATTCTATGAAGGTGTAACTAGTAGAGCTGACTAGGGGGAGCCAGTCGATGTGGTATATTTTGACCTTCAGAAAGCTTTTAACAAAGTCCCGCATAACAGATTATTGTCCAAGATTAAAGCGCATGGGATTGGGGGAAGTGTATTGAGATGGACAGAAAACTCAATGGCAGAGAGAAAACGAAGAGTAGGAATTAATAGGTCCTTTTCAAATTGGCAGGCAGTAACTAGTGGGGTGCCACAGGGTTCAGTGCTGGGACCCCAGCTATTCGCAATATATATGAATTATTTGGATCAAGGAACAAAGTGTAACATCTCAAAATTTGCAGATGATACCAAGTTGGGCGGGAAGGTGAACTGTGACGAGGATGCAAAGATCTTTCTGCACGATCTGGACAGGTTGCACGAGTGGGCAAATCTATGGCAGATGCTGTAAAATTTGGATAAATGTGAGGTTATTCACTTTGG